TATGGATATATTTGGATGATCCGTGACATACCAGCTTGTTTAAGTAGTACTGATAGACGCGTCCAAAGTACATGGAGAATACATCTGGTGCTAGGGCTTTGCCAAACGCTGGCAACAGATTGCCAGCATTCTCCAAAAGCAATTCGTCAAATTCACTATCCTCGGCATCGTCCTCGTCACCGCCGCCGGTTGGCTCATTAAACTGGCAAGCCATTTTATTGTTCAGGACATCTTTGATGCAAGCAAAGATCAAGTCGGCAATTTCCTGCGTGGGCACCGCAGTAGTCTTCACTTCAATGAACAGTTCGCTCAGCGTGTCAAGCAAATGTATGACCACGCCCTGTTCCTCATCGTTGCGGATCATATGGGCGAACTTGGGCATGATAATCAAGCAGGCGCGCTTAACACCCTCACCATCGCCCATTTTGTGAAGTGCGATCACAAACGAGCAGATAGCCTCAACGGCAGACTTGCGTACATTTTCCTGGGGATGCTCAATCACCTTGTACACGTTCTCGAAAGATATCTGCAGATATGGAGCAAAGGCGCTGCCGGTGTTAACGGCAAATTCCTTGAGGGCGAGTATGGCCTCCTCCTTTTCATATACAAAGTCATTCTCCACCTGATAACCATCATCATCATCGTCATCCTCGTCGTCTGTGTTATCCAGATCAATGTCATTTTCAGTGGGCGGCTCTTCGGGGAACAAATTGTTACCGGCAGCGTCATCCTCATTTGGAAGCATATCATCCGTAGATATAACCGATTCGATAAGGCGATCAATGATTTTGGGAAACACAGTCGACATGCTCTCGTTAACCACAATGGACAGGGCGCCCATTAGATTGTAGATCGCGCGTCTAAAGTCCGGATCGTTGGGCCCTTCGTCCAACATCATAAGGCAGTAGGCCATCGTATCATTGGCCAGGGGTATAAAGTTATCTTTGCCCACAACACGTGTTATGGAAGCCAGCGTATCAATAGCCTCGTTGCGCAGCTCCTTCATGTCATCGGCGCATTCCTTTACCAAATAAATCTGCAGTATTTCAACAATTTTTGGAAAATATGGCATTAAATTCTCCTTGGCAGCTAAAGCTGTCGCCGAGATAGCCGACAGGGCCAGCACACGCAGATGCACCGAATTCTGGGGATCCAGCGTATCGAAAAGACTGCAAAAATGTGAAATTAAAAAGGAAACTTAAATGGCACCAAATCATATATTTCTTACCGATTCATCAATAGAGGCAAATGTGGCACAATATCCTCTTCCAGATTCTGGCAGTACGTTTCCAAAGCGTAAAACATGCGGTCAGTGTGCTTCGGTTCCGGATTGCCACTCTGCAAAATGGTTCAAATAAAAGATATAGCCGAATAAGCTTGATTACAGTCTTATTGTGCTGGGGTGTGAGAGCATGCTTCAAAACAAGTGCTGTCCGTAAATACTTGCGTATTTAATCTCTGATACCCGATGCTCAATTGATATCTTAAGTTTTACAATGTATATTTAATAGTTATGGGAATAACAAATAACCGAAGCATCTTCGATATAAGGGAATAAGCACGCTGGCAAAGTGTTTGGAAATAAACTTTTCTCTATCCTCAACTACAATATTAAGTTGCGGCAATACGAGAAACAATATAAACAAGAAACAACAGTTACTTATCTTCGGGTTGCCGAAGAATAAATACCCTTGCAGACATAGGCTTAAGGACTCCGCTATATAAAACATCAACATCAGACCGGATTATCATATGCATATGAAAAGCTTGTGATCATATGAGGGTGAGAAGCAGCATAATGAAGATACTAATTGGCGAGTTACAAAAAAAAAACCTTTTGCATAACAAACACACATACAAAAAGTACAGAGCAACATCACTGATCAAAAATATATACAAAATTACATGTCCCTCTGCAAGGGTACAAAAACAATTCCACAACAGGCAATACATTTACAGTGAGATGAAGTGTGCAATAAAAATGAAGTATTGATTAAGAGCTAGGAATTTGAATTGAGAGAAAAGCACCCTGTATTTGGTGAGAACTGATTTGCGTTTAATTTGGAGCTGATTTATGTACTGAATGGTATCTTTGCCGGGTACGGGATTCGGCTCGTTGCCGTTGCCGTTTTGCTCAGCCTTTTGGACGCAGCACAAACAAAATAAGATAATTATCATGTAGACTATAGATATTAGCCGTGATGAGCTTACCTTCAGCTCAATCACCAGCTGCTGCAGAAAATCAAATAGCACTGGCAAAATTTGTGGAGCAAACTTCGATATTTCCGGCTGCAGATGCTCTGAGAACTGGCCCAGCGCAAAGAAGCTGGCAATGCGCACGATTGGCGAATTGTCGGCAATGCCGCTCTTCACGATATTCAACATGACTTCCAAATACTTGGAGCAAATGGCCTCCGAGCAGCCCTCGGCGATGACAGCAATGCAAAGGAAGGCAGCACGACGCCGCAAAGGATCCGGATTCTGCAATGCCGGTTCGAGCAGCTGCAGCAATGGCGGTATCAGCCTCTCCGCTGACATATTAATGGCCAGTAAATCGAGGGTTTGTGTGGCCGCTGTTACCGGGCTGTTGCTGCTCTCGCCCGTAAATAGCTCATCTGCGTACGCCAAAAAAAAAATATGTATCATGAAAATGTCAATTAGAGCGTGCAAGACTTTGTCTTACCGTCATCCAGTTCCGTTTCGCAGCACATCATCTCAAATATGACGGATATTATAGGCTCGAGCAGCTTCTGTTTGACAATCGCCTTCTTCTTGATGCGCACCACACGGCCAATAAACGTGACCACCTGGACGCGTATGGAGTCATCGATTTGCTTATTGTTAGCCGTTTCGAGGCAGAATTCCATAAGAGGCTTAACATTGTTATTAAGCAGCTTTGGCACGTACTCGGCAATGCTGTCAATGACATCGAAAACTATGGAGAACTCCTGCTCATCACCTTTCTGCGCAAAGGCAAAGACTGTCTTGATGATGAGCGGCAAAACCTTAAGCACTGTCTGCTCGGCGCTCGTGTGACCGCTCACGAACGGCATCAGATAGCTCATGCCCATGGTTATGTTTGCGACAGTAGGCGTGGCCAGATTACCCTTGGCCTCTGCGGACATAAGAACAGCGGCAAACATCTGGCAAATGGAGTCCATGTGACTGACAAATTGATCGGGAGCCGCATCGGTAAGAGTGGCAAATATCGAGGAGCCCAGCTCACTCTCCGTGGGATCATCCACACTGCAGCGGCTAAAGATGAAGTTCAACAGTTCCGTCAGCCACGAGTCTTTCTTCTCCTCCTCGTGACGCACCAAGGAGCCAATAAACTGGGCAATTGCATTCTTCACTGACTTTTCCTTTTCGGCAATCAATACCTGCAGCATGCCGGTCTTAATGCTGCAAAGATTGCAATTTAAATCAACCCCTTTTTTATTCGCAATAACGCGCTGCTGCTTCTTACCTTTCCTTCTGCTCGGCTGGGACCATTTGCCAGTTGCGCAGCTTCTGGAGCCGCTTGTTCAGCAGCACTGCGGCAAATTGGCGCACTTGCGGCTCCCGCGGTGACACAACTATCTGACATAGTGCCGGCAGTGTGTCCGGATTTTCGTAAGCCTTGCCCAGCTCATTGGTCGCCTAGCAACAAGAATTTAATAGATCAGACACATGTGATTTTACACATAAATTAATTAATAGCCGGCAAATATGTATATTCATGTGTATGTATATGTATTTGGATGTGCAAACAGCGTGGTTTGAATCATAGACATTGCACACATAAACAACAAGAAAATGCCCAGTGCAACCGACTGCGCAATACCCTGTACTTCTTGGTTGTGGCGTTGGTGGTGAGAAAACCATCGATGTTGCTATTTTCAGGCATTATTGCCACTTCCGCTATTTTCAGAGATCGTTAACCGGAAATTTGAAATGATTAATTAATTTAGCTTGTTTTTAGCATCCTTATGACCTTTTTACCGCCAAAGAGTGCTTGAGAAAGCTAATTCAACTATTTCTGCGATTTTTAACATTGAATTCAGGTACTTTCCGACAGTTAGCAACACTAATCCCTTGTAACCTTATTGGCAAATTTTCGTACATACATATTTGCGGGGTTTGTCAGACACCTTTTTAGCGTGGATATATATATACCAAGCGTGGTTTATATTCCAACATGCCAATCCCTAGTTTCAACATATTGCTTCCAACTGCGCCGACGGCAATATACTATTTTTTACTCTGCGAACAGAGTATAAATATACAATATATGTATATATGTATGTATAGGAATGTGTCTAGTATCAAAATGTGCACATGGTATAACTATTTCCGATACATATTTAAGCGAATAATAACTAAGGGAATTCTATCGCCCATTCCATTGTATACACACGTGCCAAGGTACTTTAAAAGCAAAATGGAGACAGTTGATGACATTTGGCAAATGGGCGCCTTTATAGGCGTCGGCATACTTTTATTCTGGTTTAAAGGAGTTGTTTGTGCGTGCAATTAATATGCCGGTAGCTTACCTGACGTATGCGTTCAGTGTCCGTACACAATAAGCCGGCGATGATTTGATCCAACACAGCGTCCATTTTTTAATGCTGTTTAAAATCAATTGGCCTCGCACAGCAAAAATCCAAGGAGCACTTATTCAATATGCCGCCGAAGCACGAGCCCGAAACGACTGTTGGCGAATATTTGCGAAAAAGTGTGGTGTGGTGGGCTAGGGCTGAAAAGCACAACAGCACCACGTTTTCAAACTGACAGGGCTACAACAAATATATAATATATGCAGTTTTGACTTGTTTAAAGACTGACAATACTCACACTTAATAGATATGTTTTTAATTTTGGCATATGACATACATATTGAGCTGCCTACTTTGTTAAATAGCTTAAAATTAAAAACAAAAGTTTTTAACATAGCTTCGATATTATTATACTGAAAAAACGATAACAAAAAAAAACACATCGGAAAGTGTGACCAGTTCTGTGCACAGCTGCGTCGTGAGTCACGAGCACCATTTTGAACGCTAACGACGCGCGTTTTCTTATTACTAACCAAAATTTATTGTTTTGTGCCTTAATTGTTTGTTATTGTTGTGCGTTAAATGGATAAAAGTGCTAGGAACCATAGCGGTAACAGTCAGAGAGATCAAAACTCCTTGGGCATACTTAGCATGGAGAACCTCAGAGGTAAATATTGTGCATATCAACAGCTGTTCCAACTACATATTATTTTAAATGTTTAGTTTTCGGGGACATGTCCGGCATGAGTAAGAGCGGCAGTGCAAATACGAGCAGGGAATCATTGAATATCCAGGAGCGACTCAGGGTAAGCAAGTGACTTATATTTGTGGATAGAAAAAAAACGCGCGCTTTGAAATTTCAGGCGGGAAGACTTAAGGCATTGGAGACGCTGGAAAAACCACGGCCACGCTCCAGCTATGCATTTGAGGAGAGGAATTATACTGCTCCAGGAGGCAACAAGGCTAAGCGTAAGTGCAAGCTCACTATTGAGGCACAAAATATTTTATACATCGTTTTGCAGCCAGCAATCGTGTTAGCGTTGCGTCTAGTCGCGGCGAAAACAGCACAAACATATCCGATCTGATCACTGAGGAAACCATTGACCTCAACTCCAGTGGCTCCGTTTTGATGGCGACTCCTGCACCCGCGGGCACAAACATATTCTTTGAGCCGGCCGAGATTACGGGCCGCTCAACGTTATGCAAAAGCGGTAAGAATGAATCGTCCAGAAAGAGCAGCGTTATCTCTGTGGCGGACATTCTGAAGTCCTCCTTTGTGGAGAGGGCCCGTGTGCAATTTGCCAAGCGGCTGGAGCACATGCCTGCCACTGAATTCACAAGCAGCAGCAGCCTCAGCGATTCGTTTAGTTGCTCGCGCAGTTTGCCGCGCACTGCGGACCTGAGTAACGCGAGCCTTAATGGCGGCTCGGGGATTTCGTTCGGCTCCGCCACTGGTCAGGGCTTTGACGAGAGTTTTGCTCCAGCTGAAATGATGCAGTCCCAACTTGTGATGGGCGAGATATCGTGGGCGCAAGAATTTGCAGCCGTGCCAGCGGCAACGCTTAGTAAACAGGCATTGCAAAAGATTTCCGCGCCGCCACAAACGCCAGAAATTGAGACCTCTGTGTCCAAGTAAGTTGAATGTGTTCCATTTAAGAAACGATTATGACAGTGCAACTTTGCAGCTCGGTTATTGCCGGAGACCCCAACTTTTCGCTGGGCAACTACTTTCAGATGCGTTCGGAGAACTTATCATTCATTGTGGGCAGAGCGAGTCGCGACAAGATGCAACCAGGCGAGGCTCTGGTCGACCAGCACAACACAACGGTAAGCAGTGCAGGCGAGAAAACGCCACAAATCGATAACAAAACATATACAAAGATCGAAAGCGCCAAGATGGAGCGCAATCTGATGAAGAAGATGCAACAGGACAAGTTCAACAAGGCACTGCAGGCAGAAACAAAGAAGCAGCCAACTAGCTCGGAGCTGCTCAGCTTGTCAGCCATCGATGAAGCCTTGCGTAAGTAGATACAGTAAAGCCTAAAGAGAGATTGCAGATAAATATCATAAATTGGTTTTGATTTAATAGGCAACCTGGACATGAATTCGGACACCTCCGTTGGCGATGTTGTCAATAGATTGCGGGCCCGTGGCTATGGGTATGATCCCGACGACGAAGACAAGGAGAATGAGCATAGCGACGACACGCTGTGCAAATCCAAGTCCCGTTCCAAGCTCACGGACACAATGAGCTTTACAGATTCGCTTTTGAATTCGACTGACTTTCAGCAGCTGCAGAATAGCATGGCGTCAACAAAAAAGCGCCAGCCGCTGAGTCCACTGGCAGACTTCATGCCAAGCCAGCCCAATATACTGGTGACGGCTAGCGATGATCTTGATCATGATCACGATGCCGACATAGATGAATGGCCCTCGACACCGGTGAAGTCCCCTGGACGTCATATGCGCCGCACCAAATCTCCGCATTCCCAACGAAACGTCAGTCCAACGAGCAGTGATGGCGTGCAGCCACTGCCCACCACCGATGAGGATGGGGATGCAGACGAGGATAAGACGCCGGTTAACAAGAAACGCAATCTAACTCTGCCCGCTATAAGCAATCAAAACTCGTTCTGTTCCACGCGTCTGGATGGCTGCGATGCGGTGCCATCGTCCAGCGAATGTGACTTTGGCATATCACCAAATTTGGGCCAAAGCGTTTCTGCCGCCAATTTGCGTCATGTGTCGCCGTTATCGTCGCCGCGCAGCTGTCTGTCCTCGCCGCTGCTGGACAGCACAACAAATTCGGAGCGTCGTCTTCTGCTTATCGGCTCCGGTGCAGTACGCAGAGCCAACACCTCGCCAGCTCCCAGCGAGGCCAGCTCCACAAGTGGTTTCAATGCATTACGCAAGGTTGGCAATGGCACCCAAATAAACGCAGCGCCACGCAGCACTTCGCGTTGCTCCAACTCCAGCGAGTTCAGTCATCGCGATGGAAAACTACTGCCCCTGAAGGTGACCCATACGAGCCTATGCTGGGGTAGCACCAAACTGCGCACAGATGTACGCAAGTCCATGCAGATCAAGAACACGTCCGACAAGCGTCTGGTGGTGCGACTGTGCATACAGGGACCAGGCTTTCAGCTGGTCAGCGGCGATGGAAACTCCATTACCTTACAGTCCATGGAATGCCGTAGCATAGGCATCACCTTCTGCCCGACGGTTAGCGGCGCAGCCATTGGTGCGCTCTCGTTCTATGCGCCCTTTGGCGCCAACAATTGCCAGCAGCCGGGAATGGAAATACCGTTGTACGGTTACGGTGGTAACGCCTCCATTACTATACAGGGACTACTTAAGGGACCGGTCGGCGCCAGCTTCCTTACCGTCGGCAATGTATGCGAGCTGGCCTCGGGCCCGCTGACTGCCAGCTTCAAGTTCTACAATAAGGGACCGCTGACAGCCTTTGCGGGCATCACAATTGATTCGACGGTGTTTTTGAAGCCGCGCCTTAATGCCGCCTTCGAGGTGCGTCCCAGCAAGATTATTCTGCCGCCGCACAGTGAAGCTGTGGTGGAAATTGTCTTTCGACCCAATCGCGAGGACATCAAGAACATACTGAAGAAGACGTCGCAGGTACAGACACTGGCAAATATGCGAATCTTTTGCGGCGATGAACCCAACCGCCAGCGCATGCGTGCCCTAGTGCAGCGCATGACTGGCGAGCAGCGGGAGCAGCTGACCTCATCCATGCTAGACAACATCTTGTGCCGTTTTCCGGGTGAGCAATCCATTCGCAGCTTGGCCATGCTGAACGAGCCGGCTGAGTTTATACTCGATCTGGTGACGGTGGTCCGCATTATTGATGTGGCTCTGACCCTGAATCGCGACTTTGACGAATCTGCTGAAACTTCGCATCTGTGTTTGCCAGACGCCGAGGAGACGGTGCTATTTCGTACTGTGTGCGCCGCTAATTCGCCGACGCCCAGCAATATGCTGGAGCCCGTTGATGAGCTACATGAGGCAGATACTACTTCGGCCATTGAGCAGCAGCCGCTGGATCGCAACTGGTCAGTGGAGCCGGAGGCCATTGAGCTTGATTTGTCCAGCGGTGGGAATGCCATAGACGGAGTCAAGCTTTTCATTAGGAACAGCTTCAGCTCACGGCAATATATTGAGTTGAACTGTAATGTGGCAAATTTGCTGCACATTACACCCAGCGAATGTTATGTGGCACCCGATGGTGGTCAGGTGGAGGTCCTGGTGCGGCCACTGCGCACACCAAGCCGTGAAATACTTAAAAATCAAATGCAGCTCCTCGTCGAGGTGTCCATGGAAAATGAACGTATTAATGTGCCCGTTACTTTTAAAGTTTGAATTTATATTTACCGTTTTGTGAGATTAATTGTATTTTTTAATTTTCATTTGCTTGTCATGTTTTATAAATAGCTATTTTAGAAACGAATTTTTAAAGTTATTTAACTGCACAACGGAAAAGTATGCCACAAAAGTGTGGAACTTCTTTTGGTATATTCAGGTATTTTTGCCGTACTTTGAGCTGGTCACACTACTCGCATTCACCAAAACAAATTTTTACTTGCGGTGATTTGGTTTGGTTAATTTAATTTCTTAATAACAACAAAGATAACTTGGCAGTGCAATAAAAGCTTTGCTTTTAGTTGACGTAGGCATATAATATGCCTTCCTATGAATTGGCGCTGGTGCTGCGGCAGCTTCCGCGGGTTTGTACAAGAATGCACTTGTTATGTAAAGTAAATAAAAAAATGTGCGTTTTCTTGTAGCCGGAATTGATATCAGTTATAAAGCGCACAGCTGAAGCAATTTTCGATAAAGGCGGCATTATTCGAAAGTTTGAAAACCTCGGAACACGTGCCTTGCCATTCAAAGTAAGCGAACATGGTGTTGTACACCGGGAAGCAACCCACTTTACCATTATGTTCGACACGGCGCCCACAAAACTGTCGGATCTCAAAGAGGAGTTCGGCCGAGACATCGATATAATACGCAGACACATCTTCAAGGTGGAAGAACCAGAGGAGTACAAGTGCACATTGCATGAGGAAATGCTGCCGCCGGCCTATCGCAAGGATGTACAGGAGATTATTGATATAGCTAAAAGGAAACAGAAACCAAAATATAACTACAACTCAGGACTGGACTATTATCCCTTCCAGAAGTAGACCTAAAGAAGGTTCCAATAATAAAAACATTGTGAACTGTCCAACATTGTCTTAGTACATCTAGTTCCTATGAATACTTAGGCATTATGAACTGCTTGAGCTCGTTGATGAAATATTTAGTTTATCAGGCAAGTTCACAACGATAGGTCTTTATTGATTTTATGGTACACAATTAATGTTATCACAAATTGATAAACAGTCGTAATCAAATCAGCCATAACTTACAGCGCCTGCGAACGTACTTATAAATAGTCTTAGTCCAATAGTCAATCGTTGAGGCAGAACAGTTAAAATGGCACCCCAAATACGTGCAATCTCTGCGGAACTGCAAGCAACTGCTAAGGAGCGCCTAAACGAGGATCCTGATCGCATTGAAGCTGACCTGGAGGCACTGAAGACTTGGATCAGGCAGCAGCCTCATCTTAATCCACGCATAGATGATCAATTCTTAGTAGGTTTCCTGCGGGGCTGCAAGTACAGCCTGGAGAAAACCAAATCGAAACTGGATAAGTTTTACACGTTGCGTACCAAATATCCAGAACTTTTTAGCGTAACTGATGTGGACGATCCCAAGCTACGAGACATTCATCGAATGGGGTAACTAACCTATAATAGCGGTCACTTATAAAGGTCACTAGGTAATCTTTATTCTGTCATATTTAGACCAATAATCTACCTACCCAACACATTTAATGGAGCCCGCATAGGCATATTTAGAATGGGTGTTACTCCTACTGATAAATATAACATTTTAGACGTAATGCGTGTCGGACAAGTTATGCAGGAAATTGGACTAATGGATGATGATACCGCCATAATTAATGGAGTAGTTTTCATTATGGATATGAAGTCCGCAACGGCAGCGCATATGTTCCAAATGACCCCCGGACTGGCAAAAAAGATGACAGTGTTTAGTGAGGAGGCATTTCCTATGAGGCCGAAGGCTCAGCATTTTGTGAACACGATTCCTGGTTTCGAGACTGTGTTCAATATGATTAAACCAATGATGTCCAAAAAGCAACAGGAAAGACTCTTTGTTCACGCTAAAGTGGAATCATTAATCGAACATGTACCTTTGAAATATCTACCCAAGGAGTATGGTGGTGAGAATGGGTCCATTGAAGAAATTGTAGCGGATATGGAGAAAAAGTTTGATCAATATAGGGATTACTTTAAAGCTAATGCCCAATATGGCACTGACGAAAAACTGCGTCCAGGTAATCCAATTGATTTTGATAGCCTTTACGGTACAGAGGGCTCATTTAGAAAGTTAAATGTAGATTAGGAATTATTTCTTGTTAAAACGTAAGCATTGAGAATTTTATAAAACAAATGGACGTCTATTTCCTGAAACCAATGTATATTGTGATTTAAAATTTTAAAAAATTCCGACATCTATTTTGACGATTAATAATCGAAAATATCGATAGTGAAGTGGACAAATTGACAGTTCTACCCCATGTGACTTTGACGTATGGAAAAAAACAGCGTTTAACAGCAAATATGATGTTAACATAATATATTTTGTTGCATAGTTCTTGGTTAAATTTGTGATATAATGTGTTATAATTTGCTGCGAAGCCAAAAAATTCAAGTACCGACCACTGCCTACTGTTGATAGCAGTTCAAATGTTAATGTTAAGTCGGTAATCTGTTAATTAACATCCCTGTGTGTCATGACGTATGTGTGACTGACTTAAGGAAAAAAGTGTATCACATAACTCTGTCGTAGTTGTATTTTTTATTTAATTGGGACGTAAATTTAGGTAAATTTGTGGCTTGCAACTGGCCAAAAGCGGTTGTGGATGCCAACAAATTAGTCAGAGTTAACGAATCAACCAACACTGTGTTAAATCGATATCTATATGTGTACCTAAACGAGTATCCCATAATTTCGAGCACGCGTTTGTAGAGTATTTTGCGTTGCAAAGATGCATTCGCTTAATTGGACATCGCGTTTAATATCACGGGCGTTGCGTAGCAGCTTCTCAACGCTGCTCGACTCGGCATCGGGTGCCACAACCAAAGGTGCTGCAAAGCCAACACCAAATCGATCTCGGCCCCGATTCGTTTCGGTGGTTTGTGGCTTTGCCAAGGACAATCTGCGACACAAATATAAGCCTGGCAAATACGGCGAAGACTCGTGGTTTAAGGCATCCACAGAGTCCGCGGATGTGATGGGCGTGGCCGATGGCGTCGGCGGCTGGCGCAGCTACGGCATCGACCCGGGCGAGTTTTCATCGTTCCTCATGCGCACATGCGAGCGTCTGGTGCGCTGCACCCACTTCAATCCGCAACGACCTGTCAACCTGCTTGCCTACAGCTACTGCGAGCTAATGGAGCAAAAGAAGCCCATACTTGGCAGCAGCACGGCGTGTGTGCTTATCCTGAATCGGGAGACGAGCACGGTGCACACGGCGAATATTGGGGATAGCGGTTTCATGGTGGTGCGCAAGGGCGAGATTGTGCATAAGTCGGAGGAGCAACAGCACTACTTCAATACGCCGTTTCAATTATCCCTGCCGCCGCCCGGCCATGGGTCCAATGTGCTCAGCGATAGTCCCGAATCGGCGGACACAATGAGCTTTCCCGTCAAGGAGGGTGATGTCATACTGATCGCCACCGACGGTGTCTTCGACAATGTGCCCGAGGATCTGATGCTGCAGGTGCTGCGCGACGTCGAGGGCGAACGGGATCCGGTCAAGCTGCAAATGACGGCCAACACGCTGGCCCTGATGGCCCGCACCCTCTCCCTAAACAGCGAATTCCTCTCGCCATTCGCCATCAGCGCTCGACGCAACAATATACAGGCGCGCGGCGGCAAGCCCGATGACATAACTGTGGTGCTCGCCACCGTGGCGATGTGAACTAAGTCGTCCTAATCCCTAGTTATTAAATGTAATTAATTTTGTAGTTTGTACTCGTTTAGTTTTAGGAGTGAGTTTTGTCTATATGTTTAAGCTGCATGTTGAGATTGTGAGGACAGACAGACAGACACTTCAATTGTTAGTTACATATACCCACGACCACGCCCACTCATACACATACTAATCGACTTATCGACGCATCCTGGCGAGGCGACCCCAACAATTAATCCAAGTCTAAAGCGTATACAAAATGCCTTGAACCATATATATATAATGTATAAGTAGATGCGCTTTGAAAACGAAAATATTATCAGCCGAAATGATCGTTGTCGTCAATAGCAACGGTTACGAGTTCTAATCAATTATTAAATGCGACATACATTACTTACATACATACATACATACATGCGTACATAATATATACCCACACCCCAAAAACATTTAAAAATTGTGGGAAGTTAAAATGCAAAAGCTTTGCAATTATTGAACTGAGGATTATATCCAGGCAACTGTCCGACGAACTGTTAGTCAAATGTACTCACTGATATTGCGATTTAATAAAAAACAAAAAATATTCATTGAAATTAATCAATATAAAAGAATTTTTAATTATTCCATGACTGCTGAAAATATGCATAAATGTAAGTAGAGCAAAGGGGGTGCAAAGGTCGTTCAAGCTATTTTTGTATGTATCGAGGCTAAAGGTTGCTTTTTCCAACTTCGATTGCATTTGGTCAGTGTATATATGTGTATATATATTTAGGTATTCTATTTTTAGACATCATTCTAGTATTCATCCGCTCACGAATTATATTACGCAGTCCTTGTGCGAATCAATATCGTGAGTGACGCGCACATCACTAACGCGGTGGCGACAGCTGTTGCGCCAAAACGCGTCGTTAGCCAACACTCAACACGAAGCGCACCAAAACAAAAGCTAAAAAAACAACAAAGAAGCAGAGCGAAAAACTTTTTCATAGCAAATGGAGCCTTAAAGAAAATGAAAATTCAATTTAACAATAAATATTAAAATGAAGCTCTTCAAATTAAACACGCACACGAGGGGCTGCAATAAGTCATACGGTAAGAGAAGTAAACATTAAATATAATGCCATTAAAAAGCTGTTAATATGGATTTGTGCGTGTGCAGATGCCGACTTGGTGCTGAATCCACAGGATCATCCAACGGCCAAAGTTGGCGATGTAGTAGAGATCTATGCACCGGATGATGAGAACGGCACCCATTTGTTGCTACAAATAACCGAATTGAACGAGCAGAGCAAAACGGGGCGCAATGTGATAAGCATAGAGTCGTGCATAGCCATAGCTTTCAAGATGCGCTCCTATTCCAATGTCGTAATGCGCATTGTGAATCCCGCGGACGTTGCCCTCGACTCCATAGAGATTACCTTTAAGGATCAGTACATGGGCCGCTCGGAAATGTGGCGACTGAAGACTTATCTGGTGAGTGTCTGAAAAGTGACAAATAGGCCTAAATAAACGTGCCCTCTTCCTGCCCCTTAGACAAATACCTGTGTGTACGTGAACAAAAAGATCGACTACAATGACATGCAGATACGCTGCCAGGTCTATGAGATGTGGTCGCAGGGCGAGCGCGTCGCCAGTGGCGTCATCACAGACGACACCAAGATCGTGTTCCGCAGCAGCACCTCGATGGTTTATCTCTTTCTGCAAATGTCTTCGGAAATGTGGGACTTTGATATACACGGCGATCTGTACTTTGAGAAGGCTGTCAACGGCTTTCTCACAGAGCTCTTTCAGAAGTGGAAGAAGCTGGGCTGCAATCACGAGGTGACCATTGTACTTTTCTCGCGCACCTTCTATGCGGCCAAGAGCCTGGATGAGTTTCCCCCGCATATGCGTGACTGCCTGCAGCAGGACTACAAGGGTCGCTACTACGAGGACTTTTACCGCGTCGCCATACAGAACGAGCGTAACGATGATTGGTGCACGGTGCTAGCGCAGCTGCGCAAGCTCTTCACTTCCTATCAGGAGACGGTGCTGCGCTATCATGAGCGCCAGAATATGCGCATACCTCTGGCTACGAACTCAACGGCCACGCAAGGCAACTTTCTGGAAGTGCTCAATATATCGTTGAATACTTTTGAGAAGCATTATCTGGATCGCACCTTCGATCGCACCGGCCAACTGTCCGTCGTGATTACGCCCGGCGTGGGCGTTTTCTCCGTGGACCGAGAGCTAACCAACATAACCAAACAGCGCATCATCGACAATGGCGTCGGCAGCGATCTGGTGTGCGTGGGTGAGCAGCCGCTGCATGCTGTGCCGCTCCTTAAATTCCACAACAAGGACACAACGCTGACCTCGGCGGATGACTACTCGCTGCCGCATTGGATCAACCTGAGTTTCTACTCCACCAACAAGAAGATTGCCTATTCCAGTTTTATTCCACGCATTAAGCTGCCGCTTCTGTCTGTTGTCGATGAGACCGATGTGGAGGAGAATGAACGCAACTTTCTAAGCTGCAATCAGTCGGAGTACATACACAACTCCCTCTTCGACTATGATGCATACGATGAGCAAATCTTTCAGCCGCTGCCCGCGCAGAGCACATGGTAAGAATCTTATAAAGTATATACATTCTAGATTATTATCTACAACCAAGTCAACTGATTATTCTTTCAATATTTGCAGCTCCCTGCAGCGCGTGGTGCGCGCCAAGAAGACATCGGTGCCCAGCTTTGAGACATATGCATATCGCAACAATGACTGGGAGAATCTGACGCCCACTAAGATACCCAGTTTGCGGCGCAAAATGTCCGATCCGGACATACATCACGGCACCTCGGGCATGCTGGCCACGCTGACAGACACCGCCAACTTGTCCGAGTCGCTGGCCTCAGAGAAGAATGCACGGCGAGCCATTGTCAGCATTGCGCCAATTGTGCGTCCGGGCCGGGCGCTCATCAATCCCTTTGATCCCTCACATGTGACCATCAAGTTGACCTCCAATCGACGTCGTTGGACGCACATCTTTCCCAAGGGACCGACCGGCGTGCTGATACAGCAGCATCATTATCAAGCGGTGCCCGCCAAGGCTGTGCCCGCGGTCAGCTACAATCGCCAGCTGCAGCACTCCAACAGCAGCAACAGCAACAACAACAATAATAATAATGATCAGGAGGAGCAATATGATCAGTTGTCGAATCACTCACTGATCAGCCAGAGCAAGTCGTTCAGCTCGCAAAACTTTGCCATGGGCGAGGAGAAATCCGATTGTGAGTAGCCTTAAAGTTAGCCCAACTATATTGATAACTCCCGTTTCTACAGTTTTCAAGAGGCGCAACACTTCGCTCGTGAATGCCGCGACCGCTGCCAATGTGCCCAATCTGACTGCCACCCAGGCCAAGTCTTATCTGTGGGGTGCCACAGGGGAGCAGGAATGGACGCCAGCAATTACCACGGGTATGTTTGCTGAACTCATTTTTATTTAGCTACTAATTCACAACTGTGTGTGGGATTTGTTGAAGATCTTATCGCGGGGCGGGTAAGCAACTGCGACTGCAGCCAGTTGCAGTTGTCTTTATGGCTTTTTCGGGCAGCATGTTGCCACTATTGCTGCTGCTCCAGCTCCAGCTGCAGCTAGTTGGGAATGCCACGAATATGGCGCAGTTCTTGGAACGCATTGGACGCGTGCATCAGCTGCAGGCCATCAGCATAGTGCACAGCGCAGACGCCACTGGTGCAGGATTTCAGGATGCACTGCATCTTGCGATGCACCAAGAGCACAACTATTTCCGGCTGCTGCCCAAGCTCATATCAACGGAAAATTCAGCCGGGCTGTTTAGCAGCTTGACGCACGAGCAAACGCTATTTGTGATCTTTGCCCGTGACTCCAGAGATGCCGTAATCGAGCTGCAGGCGGAGCGCGCACGTGGGCGTCGCTACTGCAAGACCTTCTTCCTGCTACGACGGGATGAGACACGAGCAAACCTAAGGAGCTTCTTTGAGTACCTGTGGCAGCAGGGATTTCGCTCTGCCTTGGTTATGGTGGCTCAGCGGCGTCTCTACCACATGGATCCGTATCCCACGCTGCGTGTGCTGGAACTGAGCGCAACTCAGGACGCAGGCTCGCTCTTTCCGCCACCCAATCGACGTGATTTTATGGGCTACAAGCTGCGTGTGCCCGTGCAGCTGGACGTGCCGGCGACGTTCTGGTATCCAACTGCGCCACATCAGCTGCAGCTGGACGGCGCTGGAGGCACCTTGTTGCGCGAACTGATGCGTCATCTGAACGTTTGCCTGGAGCTGTATCCACTGTATATCAATGGCTCGAACAACATCAATATGCAGGCTCTGGTTCAGCTGGTGGCGGAGCAGCGCGCCGAGCTGAGCCCGCATCAGTTTACGACATTGCAACCAACCAACTCCGTGGACTACTCCTATCCGTATGCGGTCGTGCCGCGCTGTTTTATGCTGCCGATCGCTGCGCCCTTTCCGCGCAGTCTCTACGTGATTCTGCCGCTGCAGCCGACCGTGTGGCTTGGCCTGCTGATAATGTTGCTTTTGGTGCTGCTGATGCGTTATCTGAAGCGACGCCTGATGCCGCAGCTGCCCAGCTTGCATCTGTGGTCGCTGCTGGGCGTGCCCGGCAGCCAAGGCGGCCATTATGCTGCCGTGTATACAAACATGTGCTGGTCCAGATTTGCGCGCTGCCTGCTGTTGTTTGGCGTCTTTGTCTTTGCCGCCTTCATCATTGTCCAGCTGTATGCCACCAAGTTAACATCGTTGCTGACGGTCTCGCTCAGCCCCAAGCCAAGTGTCACGCTCCTGGAACTACTCCGGCTGCCCTATCCCATACTGGTGCTGCCCGGCGATGTCAATACCATTGTGTCCGTCTTCGGACACGAGGAGCAATTTCGACGCCAGTTTTACTTTACGAACGATAACGATTTCTATGCCCAACGCGTGGAGATGAGCGCCGGCTATATCTATCCCATAAGCACGCTCCGCTGGAGATTTCTGAGCCTTCAACAGCGCTATCTGAAGCACAAACGTTTCTGGCTATCTTCGCTCTGCTATGGCACGTTTCCCGCACAGTTTCAGCTGCGCATTGGATCACATTTCCTGGAGCCGCTGCATCAGTTCGAGCTGCATGTCCACGAGGCCGGCTTGCCGGAGAAATGGCGCAGAGTCTACTATCATCGGGCCAAGCAGCTGGGCTATGTCCGTGATTTCGCCAGCGTTGAGCATTTCGAGCAGATGCACGAGGTCCGTCCATTGGCCCTCAATCTGCTGTCGTCCGTTGTGTATCTATATCTGATTGGGCTGCTCGTTGGCCTCGGCGCGTTTCTTTTGGAGTTTGTCCTGTAAAAGTAGCTGCTACTAACCGCATTTAATAGTTTTTAAGGCATTTCGAGTAATTTTAATCTCAACTAATTAACTTATGTATTTTTGGATATATCTCTCATTTCTTAACACAATTTATACCACACCGTATTGTTATCGACGAAAATTGACAACAAATTTGATATCCATTAACTGAATATATACATATATATATGTGTACCTATATATATGTATATGTATGTGTATATGTATCCCGCTACTCCACCAATTCATCAAAAAAACTCTGTGGCAATCAACGACAACAACAACAAAAAAAAAACCCCCCCCAATTGGATCAAAAACGAACGTAACCTCAAAAATCGAAAATTCACCGTAATAACAATCGACTGGTATTGACATCGATATCATCGGCAAACCGTGTAACGGTAACGTTTTAGAAAACGGGACTGCGCTAAATTTTGGGAATACGACAGGCAAACATATGAAACCAATTGTCGAAAGTGAACATAATAATTTTGGAAGATCACGGCTTGAGGCTACAACAGAGGCGGTCGGCAAAGGAAAAATCATCATAGGTTTGGCAAAAATAATCACAATTTTGTACAAAGCAATGCATCCCAACACACACACACACACGCACACACACACGCACACACATACACATATACACTCATCTCACATACTCACATACACGTTATACACAGTAGTTTTTGCTAGAAAAATGTAGTTAGTTTTGTTTAAATGTGTAGAATTTGCACATAATTTTGACTGAAGCACCTCGTAGTTGCTATTTATGTTGTATGTTATCGCTGGCAACCAATTATCGACTCTTAGTTAATACTAATAAACCGTAAAAGGCCATGATTGGAAAAATAGATGAGGAGAAAGCGTGAAACGCTAAGGATCAAAAGATCTAAAACTTATTTATCGATAATTTTCTAGTATATCGATAATCGATAATTGTTAGGTTAGGAAAGACTTACTTATTCAATTTTTTGTACAATCATTAGAACTTTAAACTACGACAATAATTTAAACCTAAAATTATTCAATGCATTTGATGCTTAAAATTGAGAAATATTTTTTTAATTCATAATATTTGAAAACATTTAATTGATGAGATTTGAAAAAAAAAAAACTAAAATTTCTTGTCTGTCCGATTTAAGGCATACAACCATGAAAATGATTTAACAATTAGATTTATTTCTAGATACATAACTGTAGCTTTGCCGCCTGTACATATAGCACATCCGTAAACGCAACGGTTCCACCGACAGCATTTCATGGTCGAAGCATATAATTAGTGCTTATCATTAACCCCCCCCTCGCCACCCGACACGCTCACCAATTCCATGTAGCTAGTTATCCTGGTATATCCACATAATACCTGTGCACATCCATCCACAATTGAGCCCAGGTGGTTGAGGGGTGTGTTTTGTATCCTCACGTTGCATGTGGCATGCAGCAGCATTTACTTTTTGTTATCTTCGTAATGTTCGCATGCTTTTCAGCCACGCTCACTGCCCACTGCACGCACGCACCTGCCTTTATAATTGTTGACCACCAAAATCCTTAAAAATGAACAAATTAATACAAAAACATTTCAAAGCTGGTCTTAATTTTCGTACACTTGGAGCAACTGGTTCTAAATATAGCTTAAGCGATTTGAAATTGTGTAACTATATATTATCTTTATACAAGATTTCTATATATATATATATATATAGTATATATAACTATCGTATCTCGTATCGGCGTTGGCTTTTTCTATTTGCGTACCTTCTTAAACACCCTCTGCCCACTGCACGCTGCGGCGTCCGCTGCTTTGTTTGCTTCTTATCTACTGCTGCCACTTTCAGGCGTCGACTGGAAATCCCTGTCCATACCCGCCTGTCTGCCCATCACCACGGACTATTTTCCGGACAAGCGTTCGCTGCACAATGACTATGTCATCTCGGACTATACGCTGCTGCCGGATGATGTGAATCTGGACTATGCCAAGAGTCGCGCCGTCTACCGCAAGCCCCTGTCCACGGAAGAGGTGTGCAAGGAGATTGTCTCACAACGTCTGGCCCAGGGCTTTCAGCTGATTGTCGTCGAGGAGAAACAGCCCAGCTCCACCAGCTGCTGCTCAGCCAGCGGCAGCTGTGCTCCTGGCAGCAATCAAACCACATCCGCAGTGCTGCCGGTGAAGACGTCCTGCGAATTGAACAGGGAGTATCTGTTGTCGATTGGTCGCATCTTTCACAAGATCTCGCTGAGCGGTTCGGTTATCACTGTAACTGGCTACAGGCCCAGGTGAGTTGATTAATAAAAAGAAATAATTTTCTACTGTTTGTAAATACCTTTTCGATTCCTTTAGGCATCCCTATCCACCCATCAATGTGGATTACCGCTATCGTTTCCATGCGCCACAGCATGAGACCTATGAGATCTCTGGCGTTAATTTCACGACGGAAAAGTTGGAGAACTTTAGCTGGAATCACATGGATCTATATATATGCACGCGCGGCGATGTCGACTATCCACTTATGGAGGTAAGCATTGTGATCCACGCTGCAGTAGCATTCACCCTTCTACCTGCCTCTTGCAGAGCCTCAAGTACTGGCGTTTTCGCATGTATCTGCTGCCACGCGAGAGCATGGTCAATAAGATCGTCAGCTTCGGCTGTCAGCGATGCGATATCTTCACGGATGCCGTGGTGGACAATACGCGCGAGCAGATTGAGGATTTCATTCGGCTAATCGAGAATGTCAGCAAATTAAAGCGGCAGATTTGCCGCAAAGCGCGCGTAAGCTGTCCAAGAATTTACATACATATACATATAGTTTCCAATTTTTGTTTAGTTTGTTATTGTTTCTTTTGATTCAAATGTTGTTATCGATCGTTAATCGATTTCTAGTTCCAGTTCCAATTTTAGTTACACCATTGGCAGTATTAACAGAGCTGTTGTCACTTACATTCGTTTATGCAAATGTTATTGTAGTGCTTACCGCTTAACATAATTTACATTTACAGGATAGCCCGACCACCCACAGCCTAACCAAGCGACGACACAGTACGAGCATTATATCCAGGCCTCTCAACCAGGTTATCTATCTAACTACATACATATTATTCTTCGAATCTTCAATTTGTTTTTTGCCGCTGCGCACATTTTGTTTCGATTTTGTCCTTTTTGTGTTCGATTTGCGCACGCTTTTAGTTTCATAATATTATTATTTAAACGCGTTGTTGCTCATCATATTTTTAATCTTCTTCAATGTCTTCCGTCTCGCCTGCCCCCTCTCAACGCCAACCTCTCTGCCTGTGTACTGCGCAACTGCAACTCGTCCCTGCAGGGACTCACAAATTCACCGTTCCGTGAGCGCGTCGGCAGCAATCGCCTGCCGGAGAAGAGACCCAGGTTTTTATATCGTATCCAAATACAAAAGAACACACACACACATATACACTCGTCATACACACACACACACACACACAGTGATTTGCATCTGTATACGTGTTAATGCGCCTGCGAGCTGAGCTTTTTTTTGTTGTAACGCCCCCTACCCTGCCCCGCTGTACTCTTTCAACAACTTGGTGACTGATTTTGTAGCTCTTCTATGTTGTTTGTGCACTTAGCTTGTAGTGTATTTTACTTATATATATATACTTATATTTTGTATTGCGATTTAATGCCTCGGCTCTTTATTTTTTTTCCTTATTACTATTTAATTTGGTATTTGGCTTTCAGCAGCATGACACACCCACACCTAGAATCACTGAAAAGAATCATAATCTATTAAACCCACCACAGCAAAGGTTTGTTAAAATCTAGCGTATTTATCCTAGTTGTACCCATCCTGTTCCCAACAAACAAAACTCCCCACTCTTTTGATAATTGATTTCCCAAATTTTAAGCGAGTGGGAGAAAGAGAGCGGTATACTACATTTGCTATTTTGCAGAAATTTTTACATTTCACACACTCCCACATACATTATTTGCGAAAACTCACCACCCTATTTAAGAGAGAGAACGAATAATCTACATTTGCACAAATATTGACATTTCTAAACACCCGCACATTATTCACGACAACTCACCACAAGTTCATCATTTGCGTATACTCACCACACCGTTACAATTGGTTTGCAAAATTGTAATTGAGAAAGAAACCTGCACTTGTAATTCGTACACACATTCAGATTCACTCCTTTTCCTCCCACAACCAGTCCACGGCCACGGTTACTAAGCGTTTGCAATTGTTAAGCTTTATTAATCGTAAACCTCCCATCACAGCATCAATGCACGCCCGAAGCCGGACCCGAGTCGCATTTCACGCATCCTTCCCGGCACGGATGCGGCAACAGCTGCAGCTGCAGCCTCGGCAGTTGTGCCACGTGACGATCAGGATGATGGGTAAGCGACCAATCCCCTAGTGCCATACCCTTGTTAATTAGTATCGCTTCCTTAGCTTCCCCGTGGACATCAAATTCAGCGCAAATGCAACGCTCGCGGAGATGTTTGAGGCCATGAAGCATCCAGTTAACGGCGTTGGCTTTTTCACACAAACCCAATCGTTGCCCTCCTGCACCTTCATCTCCTACGATGCGCTGATGTGGTTGAAGGCGCGTCTGACCAATGGTCGCCATCCGTTGGATCTGCTGGAGGCCATGCGGAAGTGAGTTGTTGATGGCTTTAACCAGCGGCCCAGGCTAATAAATTTGTTTTCTTTCGCAGGGAGCGCATGATTTGCCACGCCTCCGGCGACTGGAATCAGCCCATTGTGCCTGGCTTTGTCTTCTACTATGTGGTGCAGCAGGACAGGAATGCCAAGGGTGAGTTAAACCAGCGCGCAGCAGCCAACAACTAATCCCACATGTTGCATCCAAACAGATTACGCGCCGCCGCTCAACGATTACAGCGCCTTTGTCAACGAGTGGCTGGAGATTGAGCTGCAGGGCTGCAGCTTTCTGTGGCACGACGAGCCGGCGCCCACAAATGTGCCGAACTTTTTGCGGGAGACGCCCGCCCCGCAATCCTGGCGGGAATACTGCAAGAGCAGTGAGTACTTAGTTGGCCATTAAAATTATTATGACTGAAATACATTTATTTGCTTGCAGAACGCGTTTGTCGCAAGTCGCATTTGGAGATTGATGTCAATCAGAAGAGCGATCGCATGGAGTGGGGTCATGTGAAGCATCACACGGTCATGCAGCCAGGATTTGCCTTTGAGCTGGTCGTTGAATGGGTCACCTCGTCAGGACCCATTGTGTCAGACTTGGTAACTACTGGTGCATAAGCTCTTGATGCCCATTGTTAATATGGTTATCTTTGTAGATCTCGGGCTGGATGCGCAAGGCGAATCATTGTGGCTATCAGCTGGTCTCCGTACCGGCTGATCCCATGGCCGAGCCATTTACAGAGAAGTCGGATCCGTTGCGTGGTCCCATATTCATTCCACTGTGCGTCACCTTTTTGCCAAATGGAGCCGCCCTCTTTGATGGTCTGTACAGCCGCCCTGATCTTTCTACTTAATTACTTACTGCTTTCTTCAATGCAGAATTCCCCGAGGACAGCCGTGCAGATCGCATGCTCTTCCTGCAGGAGGCAATTTTGGCCAGATTTGGTTTTATGCCCTGTGTGCTTGAGGAGAAGTTCACCCAAAAGAAAGACGTAAGTTTTGCCCAAATCTGGACATGTTGGAGCTGTTGCTGATCCGATTTACTTTATTGCAGCTGCCCAAGGAATACCAGTACGTGCATTGCACTGGCAATATGTTCGCCCTCATACGGTAAATACTATATGAACCATATCCTGGACAAGACCTCATTCCCATCTGTCTTTCAGCTGTGCCAGCAACAAATTTCAGGTGGAGTCACCAAGTCGCCAGGAGGCGAACGTCACCCGCTGCGTTTATGGGCATACGAATAATACGAATGTGCCCAAGAAAGTGGGCTTCCTCTGGGCCTGGAATCATATGATACCCAACAAAAAGTGGAAAGCATTGACCATCAACAACTCCGCCGATGGTGAGCTTTTTCAGCTGAAAATGTTGAAGGATTTCCGTGAGTTCTGCTCGAACAGTGATCAGCGTTTGGCCAACTTCTGGGCACATTCACAGGAGCTCAAACGCAAGTCTCTTAAATTTGAATACAATAATAACAACAACGATGAACCAAAAATTATATAACATTTGTTCCAGACGTAGTTTAAAGATTATTAAAGATTTTAATGTTCTCATTAATCACGAGCCACATTTTTGGATTCGGAAGAATCCATCTAATTGAGCCTGAGATACGAATCGTATGATATCCTCAGACTTTATTTATTTTATTATATTATATATTTGTGTATGGTTTTATGTATGTATGTGTGTGCGTGTGTGTGTTAGTGTATGCAAGCATGTATGCATGCATTTATGTATGTACATATGTATGCATGCATGTTTGTTTCCTAATGCCAAACGCAGACCAAGCTTATTTGTCGCTGTGCTGCAAATTTAAATAAAACGAATTTCTACCAAGTGCTCTCCTCCTCGATTCTCAAGAATTCAAGTAGGCTCTGCAGTTTTTCACGCATCGCCAGTAGTGGAGTTTTTTTTTTGGTGCTTTTTTTTTGGTGCTTATTTTTGGTGCTTTTTTCTGGTGCTTTTTTTTGTTTTTTTTTATGGTGCTTTATTTTACACTTACTTAAATGTGTGTATGAATGTATGTATGTATGTATGTATGTATGTATGTATGTATGTATGTATGTATGTATGTATGTATGTATGTATGTAGGTATGTATGTATGTATGTATGTATGTATGTAAGTATGTATGTATGTATGTATGTATGTATGTATGTATGTATGTATGTATGTATGTATGTATGTATGTATGTATGTATGTATGTATGTATGTATGTATGTATGTATGTATGTATGCATGCATGTATGTATGTATGTATGTATGTATGTATGTATGTATGTATGTATGTATGTATGTATGTATTTATGTATTTACGTATGTATGTATTTACGTATGTATGTGTGTATTTACGTATTTACGTATGTATGTGTGCGTTTATGTAGGTATCCGGACATGTATTCATACATGTACGCATGCATGCATGCTTGCATATATGCAAAACAATATTACATGTATATACAAATATGCAAACTTAAAAAATTCGCCCTAAAAATCGTTGAAACGCGTTTTCCACCGAGGAAGCTTGGATTCTGCGAAAAGTGTGAAACCCGTCTCAAATGATTTTTCGTATAGAGCTTTGGAAATAAATTTGAACACGAAAAGTTACCCAACGAATCCTTAACCCACATTTCCACTAAGGAGGGATGGATGGGATCGTGCGGATGGAATTTCCCGAAACGTCGTCTTAACGTGCACCTTCATCACATAAGGTAAATTTTTTGTAACATGTTTTGCATTGTAATATCAGAAAAACCATTCGTTCTTATTTGTAATTTGAATTGCATTTATTTATCGTCGTAAACTCAACATAACTTTTGTATAATAGAAGTGCACATTTTTGTTTTTTTTTTTCTTTGAACTCGGTCTTAAATGCCGCTGGGCTCTCCGGTTGCGGGGCCGTGAGAGGATGCCGAGGAGTCAGTTGTTGTTGCTGCTTAATAATGCTAACCTATTTGGCTCACTTAGGGGCGGGGACAGGGGGTTGGTTGCGAGGGGCATGGGTCGGGGTTGGTTTTTGTGACAGCTTTGGTCGTGTTCTTGTTATAGTTGTAGTTGTTGCTAAATGCTTTGGTATGGGTCATGGCCGGGCCACGCCTACATCTCGGTAAGAAACTGGGTCAGCTTCTCACGATCGCGCTGGAGCCAAGCGGCATTCAGGCGTATTGTTTCGACGGCCTGCGAGACGGTGCGATCACAGCCGGGTATCAAGTTGGTTTTGAAGAACTCCTCGACTTCGCGCGCCTTCTCCTCGGAGGCGAAATTCTCAATCAAATATTTGATGAGACGCGTCAGCAAAAAACCGCCCTGGAAAAAAGATTTGGGATCAGTTGAGAGTCCAGAAATCGAGGCTTGAAAAGTTACCTGATACTGTTCCAGCAGCTGCTTGTTGTTCTCCTTGAAGAACTCCCAGGCCATGTCGCGACCCTTGGGATTAACCGCCACGGCAACAATGACGAACACCGAGTCCTGGGCGCGCACCTCACCCTAAGATCACAAACAAGATTAATGACCCGGCAGGTATATAAATCGTCTCCGGCTACTTACCGACATGGCAAAGTCGATGACGCGACGGAGCAGCTTCACGTCGCCAATGCAGCCGAGTGCTCGGCTGATGCGATCCTGTTCCTCGTGCAGATCGGTCGAACGGTAAAGCGTGAGCATTTCCTCAAAGATCCCCTCATCGCCATCCTGCAGCACGGCCTTGTAGCAGGTGCTGCGCAAATCGGCGGGCAGCGACTTGGTGCCATTGACATGGCTGCGGAAGCGTTTGCGCGCCTCCTCTGTGATCTCGGGACTGCGGAAGGATACGAGACGTGTCAGTACCAGGCTCCGCAGCAGCGTGTCCAAATGATTCTCATTGTCGCGCGGCTCCCAGTCGAGCCGCTTGGCCACCGGTTCGTACAGGCTGCGTCCAAAGCTGTTGAAGTCATCCATGAGTTCTGTGTGGGAGATCAGAATATGGAGGTTGGCAAGCGAATTGGTGATGGCTGTCCACACGGTGTAGTTGGTCTCGTTGCGATAGGAGCCGACCAGTTGGAGCACATCAACGGTGCTGGCCTGGCCCGCCTGCACCATGGCGAACATGTCATCGATCAGGCCCAGCCTGTCCAGCGGCGGCAGCTCCATGTTCTCCACGGCCGGCAGCAGCTGGCCCAGCATCGCCTCGGAGTAGCGGGTGCGATAGTAGCCAACGGTGCCGGGATTGATTTTGATCCAATCCCCCTCGGAGACATTGTCCAGCACCACCTCCATGGAGGCCTTTTCCAGCAGAAAGGTCTTGGCTATCTGATTGGGATTGCGCGATGTGGACACCGATATGGGCACCACCCACAGGCAATCCTCGTCCGCCTTCGAGCCGTCGGCGGTGAATTTTCTCTGGGTAAGCCGCAGCAGACGCTGCGTCTTGCTCTTCTGCTCGGACTCGACACTGACGACGGGAAAGCCTTTGTACTTGGTCCAGCTGGACATGACAGCGCCCACATTCTTGGAGCTAGCCTCCTGCAGTGCCTCCCACAAATCCTCGGTGCAGGTGTTGCTATACTGATGCCGCGTCAAATAGAGATTCATGCCCTTGCGAAAGTCATCCTCGCCAATGTAATCGTGGAGCATGCGTATGACCGAGGCGCCCTTGTTGTAGCTAATCTCATCGAAGATCTCATCTATCTCCGATGGATGACCGACGGGCACCTCAATGGGATGCGAGTTCTTCAACGAATCCAGCTCCAGGGCGCGCGTATACATGTCTGTCACGAACTGTGTCCAGATATCGTACTCGGGAAACAGATGATGCACGCACAGGAACTCCACAAACGAGGCGTAGCCCTCGTTGAGCCACAGATGCGTCCACCATTCCATGGTCACCAGATTGCCTAAAAATACATAATTATCAGAAAGGAGGATCATTCCGGGACTGGGGACTGCCTGCTTACCGAACCACTGGTGGGCGATCTCGTGGCCCACGGTGAGGGCGATCGACTGCTTGCGCATGAGCGAGGTGTTCTTGGGATCCACCAGGACGAAGGTTTCGCGATAGGTGACCAGACCCCAGTTCTCCATGGCGCCCGCGGAGAAGTCCGATATGGCAATCAGATCCATCTTGGGCAGCGGATAGGCAATATTGAAATAGCTCTTGTAGTAGGGCAGCACCTTGGTGGCCACCTCCAGGGCGAACTGGCCCTGATCCCTCTTGCCCACGGGCGTAAAGACGCGCACAATGACCCCATCGTCCGATTTGGCCTCCACAAAATCGTATTCACCCACAACGACGGCCACCAGATAGGTGGACATGATGGGTGTGCGATCGAAGCGCACGCGACGCAATCCGCTGGGCAGGATGTCCTCCTTTTTCACGGGCATGTTGGACAGCGCCACACGATCCTTGGGCACCACCAGCGTTATGTCGAAGGTGGCCTTAATCGCCGGCTCATCCCAGCAGGGAAAACAGCGACGCGCATCGGTCGCCTCGAACTGGGTGACGCCCGCATAGCGCTCCTCGCCGCTGGCCGTGAAATATTTGCTCCGATAGAAGCCCTTCATTTTGTCATTCAGCTCGCCCGTGAAGGACATGTAGAGCACACCAGCCGTGCCCGCCGGCAATAACTCCCCGAATTCCAGTACGGCCGTTTCATTCTCCTTGGAGTAGCTGATGCGATCCGCTTTCAGTTTCTCGCACTCATACTGAAACTCCGCCCCCTCGATAATTATGTCCAGCGCATTGAGGGTGATGCGTCGCGTTGGCTCTTTGACCTGGATCGAGCAGAATAATAACAGGCAATTAGAATGGTTCTAGCAAAAAAGGGGCAATAAGTCAACGATCGTGCAGCATTCAGTGCTGTCATCAACTGGCATAAAAATGCAGTTAGAGTGCCCGACTAGAAGATACCCTTTAGCATGATGCTTCGAATAATATTGCCACTTACAATATACAGACAATAGACCAAGACTAAAGGTGAGTGAGTGTTAGTCACCTAAATTAAAAGCTTTTCTATGCGATTTTCATGAATTCAAGTAAGGGTTAAAGATTTAGATGTAAGAATGGGAGAGGAGGAGGAAGACAGCACACGCGGAGACAGAGTGGCAGTAAAAGAAGGAGAGATTGGAAGTGAAAGTAAGAGAGTGGGAGTGAAAATAAAAGGTTATGGGAGCGAGAGTAAAAGAGAGTGTGAGTAAGAGTAAGAATGAGAATCGCAGTTAAGAAATAAAGAACAGTAAGAGGAAAAGCACAGAGATTATTCTTCTTCACAAATACACATGCACACACGTATAACTACAAAAAAAAAAAATAACAGATTCAAGCTAGACGTGACAATCGATTAGATAGAGAGATTATAGCGTAGCAGAGGCTGTTATCAAAAATTAAAAAAATATATTAATCTGCGTATCGTATACGAGAAAAAAGAGATCATATATAAAATGAGAGCACATATGCAGAAGCACGTAGATAGATATTTGGACTAGGTTTTGCATGTTGATAAAGAGTATGCATGTTTTTCAGCTTGTTACATACATTCACACAAGTCTAAAATACTCCTCCTATCCATTTTTAAAGGGAATACAAAAGGTAGAACGAGTTGAAGCGATCCAAACGAAAGCAGATTCGCAATATACCGTTATTTCAAGGTCATAATTGATCTACAGTGAGCATTGCCTATAGTAAACCATTTTTATACTGCACAAAATTTGTCGCTGTGCTAAAGCAATTGATGCATATTAACTAATTGAATTGTTTTCTTCTCATGTTAACTTAAAGGATAAGTTGGCAAAACGCATGTTCGTCATATCAAATATATACTGTATGCGAATATTTTGCTAGCCCGGTTTCCGGCTTTGAGTAGCCGCCGAAAAAACCCGTTTTGGTTGTATATCAGTTAAAGTAGCAGCAGCCGCCGTTAAGATTTGGACAAGTATTAAGTTTTTTATCTTCTTTTTTTCTATAAATGGTGTATTTGATGGGCGATCAAAAAGTCAAAGCCCAAACCCGTTGCTGCTGCGTCTTCGGATGCGCGCAGAAAGGTAAACAGAATGTGTATACCGTTATGAGATCAGCAGTGGCGGCGGCGTTGCCAGTAAACGGGGGGCAAATGGTGTGGCGCAGTGCGCCATAAAAACAAATAAATTTGCAATAAGTGCCAGTCATTGCTTGGTGTCAACCCATAACAAAGAAACATTTCCTTGTCAACGACATGTCTGAACGTAGCCTGCATGCAAATTGCAGCATAAAGAGAAAATGGCACACACACACATACACGTACAGACTAGGCGGAGCGCGCGCGCGCGCTCATGTGTGTGTGTAAGGGAGAAGGTATGAGTTTTTTGCACACGTCAGAAATGAAATAAACAAGCACACACACACGCACACACACTCGCGCGCAGAGCTAAAGAGAAAGAAAAAGAGACCTGCATACAAGAGACACATACATACATATTTATGATTTGTAGTCAAAGTGAAAGCGAAAGTGAACGAAAACTTAGCGAAACGTAACGGTACTTACACTGATTTGCACAATTGTCTTGCCCGTAAAACTGAATGCCTCCAGATCAGGCTGCAGGATTAGCTCGTAGTGCTTGGGCACCACATTTGTGGGCAGGCGCTTAAATTGGGTGACCACCGATTGTGCCATATTGTTGTAACCGTTCGACTGCTCCGCCTGACGAAGATGACTGCAGCAGCTGTGTATGCGACGATTATGGCTTAATTGTGATCCTTTGCCTAGTACGGGCCCAGCTCCAACCAAGTCCGCCGAGGTGTGGGCAAGTATGTCACGATAACGACTGCACAGATCGCCCAGCAGTGGGGCGTCGCTGGTCTTGAGTGGTGCGCCCAGCGATATGTCCGAATAGTCGCGATAAAACTGTTTTTGCACCTTCACAAATTGCTTCGATGATACCAGAGTATTGAGGTGGCAAGTCTCTGCACGTAGATGGGCAGAATGCTTATCAACGCAGTTAAGGCAATGGTACAGGCGGAGGCGAAAACGGAGGCGCAACGATGGGGCGTTAGTAAAAGCACAAGCGCAGCACCGAAAGCTCTGGCGAGCCAGTTTCCACAGTGCTGTTGGTTTGTTTAGTAACTGTTGCTTGGATGCGGGGGAGGCGTGCAGCGGGAACAGCTTTGGTTGCTTGCAAACTGAAACTAGAAGTGGAAGATAGCTGGCACAAAGGATTATTATTATTATTGTTATCACTGCTTTTACGAGCGGTTTTTAATTGTGTTTATATTATTACGACAAGGGGGACTGCGGGGTACTGTGGGGGACTGCGGGTGGCTGTACTGTTCTCTCACCTTCGCACAAATGCTGCTCAAAATCGGAATTGGCTTTAGCTAAATCCAAATTGAGTTTGCCAAGTTCTGCAAGTATGACGTTTGAATGCACTTACGATAAATTTAACTGAATTATATTAGTTAATTTTTGCAGAAAATTTATTAGAGAGTGAATGAATACTGCGGGCAGCTGCTGGCGGCTTCTGCTGACGAAAAAAAAACAACACGCTTTCAGTGTGACCCACTTGCGCTTGGTACGTTTTGGTATTGGACCGCACAGCTGATTGCGCACTCTACAGACGTGTTGTTATGCAGCCGTATTGTTTGCTGTTATAAAAAATGTTCACTGAGTACGTGTGTTATTACCGTTTCTGAATTTCCAGGCCTGCTTTGCTGTACGTATACCTCCTTTTAACGCATTTTTGTACATGGCACTGCAACGTTGAATTCAATTTTAAAAATAAAACGTTTTATCGGTAGCGCATTAAGTGAGTTCGACCTTCTAGCTGTTTACCAACACTCTTGATATGTATCTCTCACACGTTGCAACTTGCAGTACGACATTTGTAATGTTGGGATATCGATAAATTTGTATCGATATGTAACTTGAAATATTTACTGTTATAGGGTAATAACGGATTTTTGGTTTTTAACTTTGATCGTTTTTTAAATGAGACTTTTTGGGGTCAAGTAAAAGCACAAAATTTGGAAGGTAATTTGCTGATGATCTATCTTAAATGTTGTGTCAAAATATGCTGAGTAAGCTCGCACCAATAATAATATTCCATAAATCGCAAGATTCATTATCTTACGCAGTTTTTGCCTGCCTCACTGTATCTTATACCATTTTTGAAGTGGGATTTACAAACATCAATAAGAGTTTTATCTTATTTGTATAATTTATTTTATTCAATTTAAATTTAAGTTTTATTACATTGCATATATTCACTTATAGCACACATAACGTATATCACTGTTCACACAGAACTCAATTAAAATGGGTTTTTTTAAAATCCTCATTTCGACAATATGGCAACGCTGGCACAACACAAAAGTACTAAAAAACACCACAGCTGGAAATGCACACCGATACCCAAGGGTTGTTCGCTGTGGCGGCAGTAAAAACCGATTTAGTAAATGATAAGTTATTCGGTTGTGCACTACGTTGGGTCGGTTTCTTTTAAAACCCCTCAGTGAATATTCACGTAAGAATAGACAGCACATGCTTCCCGCTCGACATTTACTCTGACTTCCAGCTCAAATTGCACTTGCCAGAAGGAGGAATAACCGTACAATAAAATTCGTGCATCCATTTGCAATTCTCCACTGTAATTTCAATTTTTCGCGCATCAAATATAAAATGAAATTGTGTTCATCGCAACAGTTTGGTGTAGCTGTCTTGTTTATTGTTTTGAATATATGCTCGCCATTAGCAGATGCATCGCCAATTGCCTGGGGTAAGTGTGTGTTTTTCTTAAACAGCAGCTATTATACAATTTTCTGTCAGAATTGGTTAGAAAGTGTTGCATTGCTGTGGCAACGCTGCCAGTGCACCTGAACGTAACAGTGTGCCCCGCTCTTTAACAGAAATCAATTTGCCATCGAGTTGGCAGCAGACAATGCGTTTGCTTTATGCTTGATTACATAATCGGTTGACATTTAAGTGTTTCAGCTAGGCAAATAAAGAGATTCTAGCCTTTTTATGAATGTGACCGTGTCTATATTTTTGGCCATGCTTGCGATTATATGTACGTGTCTCGCATACTTGTGGTGGCGTGTGCGTTTACGTTATGCTAACCATCAGCTGATTATGCCATTTTGTTTTCTTCGTATCAATCTGTTTTAGCTACGCATTTGCCTTATCACAGATGATGTTTATCAATTCAAGTTCACTCATTTTGGAATTTCATAAACCAGTTGTAGTTTCGGTATATCCTAGCGCCTATATTCCAACAATGTTGCACGCGCACTTTCACCCCCGCTGAGCGGAGAGAGCGCTGCGACGGTTCTCTGCAGCAGAGACAGAGAAAAAAAAAACAATCCCATAGCCGCCATTTATAGTTGCTTAATTGTCACGTATGCCGCAAAATTTGCCGGTTTTGTTAATTTGTTTTCTTTCACTTTTTGCTGATTTGATTGTTTTTTTTTTTTGTTTTTTTCTACAACATTTTGGTCTCGCCTGACACCCAGCTTCGTTTCAACAAAAAGCTTGCGACTTTTGTTTACTCGGAGCTCTCAGTTTACTCCGGCGTCCAACTCCGGCGCTGACGCCAAGTAAATTCAATCAGTTTTGTTGTTGCTCTCTGTTGGAATTTCAGCTAGGCAATTCGAGGCGAATTCTGAAAATGTGTGCGTGTGCACATAAATATGTATGTGTGCGTGTGTGTGTGTGATTTACTGTCCATACATATGTATGTATGTATATTCCAGTTACAGTTACGATAAGTGATCGGCTATCAAGAAATCCACGTGTTGCCTCGCATTCAAGTGGATATGATTTGCAGTCATATAACAACTTGTTGCCGCCTGAAATATAGATAGGTTACATTAGATGTTTATAATTTTACTTAAAATTGATTTTATTGAACAGGTTTTAAGACTAAATTCATTTTGTCAGATCAATGCACCTGCATGCGAGCACTCTAGAGATTAGGGCAGATCGACAGCTAGATACCCTTCAGCTCCAGCTATACATCTTCTATCCTATGGTTAAGACGGTCTTAAAACCCGATATTTATCGATTTAGGGCAGTTTGTGTAGTTATCGATAGAGAGAAAGACTTCATTCCAAATTTGAACTCTCAGACTCTTATAATCTGTAAGTTTGAATGTGAATTTGAGCTGCTTCAATATACCCTTTCAGGGCCAATGACTATAGGGTATTCCAAGGGTTCTCCATAAATTTTCAAATGTGTTTATATTTACATAGTACGTAGTATGCTAAATGTATCTCACTTAAATATGTATTAGCTTTGAAATGGATCTTGAAAACTGACTCTGAATGCAGATTTCAGTATACATATATATATATATATATATATATGTTTCTTTCTTCTTCATTACAAAAACTGAAAACTAAGGACGGAATCCATTTCCATAAACATTTGTAATCCTGAAAGATTAAATTCTTTATATTAGATTGGAGCTCGGACTCTCAAGTAAAGTGCATCGAAAGCCTATAAAATCTCTGTTTAGAGATATTTTTAAATTAATGAAATTTTGTATGCGCCAGCAGAGTTCATTTGGATTATCTATCGGACGTTAGGTCAATGTCAATGACCATTAGATGATATTTTAAAAATTTTGGCGACGCAAAAACCTTATTTAAAACAAAATACAAACAATTTAAGTTTTTTTTTACATTTGTTGCCACAATTAGAAGCTAAAGTTTTTGCTGGTTTTTGGGCAATTACAGTCGATAATTTCATAGTTTATTATCTATCACGAACTTAATGTGAGTCATCGATCTATAAACGAATCAATTAACTATTTGATTGAACTTTATTTATTTTGCCAACGATTGCAAACATGTTAACTTATTTTGAATTCAACATTTTCTGCATCGATAAGCCGTTGACCTCAAAGCCCCTTAGTGCGAAGGTTAAACTATGCTCAAGACTAAAAGCCAAAGCGTTGGAAAGGTTCGCCAATTAGACAGACTGACGTCTATTAGAGCCAAATATATGCATACCTGTATATATATGGGTATAAACTAATGAACAGTCCATATATAAATATTTGCCATACCCTGGCAAAAGTGTATTATAAATTTGTCAAGCGAAATGTAACTCATCTCAGGTTTTCAGCTAGTATAACGGTTGAACCTTGCTTTATAGCTGTATATCTCTATATATATTATTATAGCTGACATAAGATCTTGTTGTTTTCCAAGATATCCTCAGTTGAAACCAATGTCGAACCCCTATATCATTCGATCTCCCCTAGGAGCAAAGGCTAAGACTCGAAATGTTGTACCGCGCACCTGCTGATTGTCTGAAAGGGTATTTCGACTTTGGCACTCTAAAGATAAACCTACATTTTGTTTGCTATTTACTTTGTTTTTAAATTTTTTTTTTTTTGCAAATTCAACCTGCCCGGCGAGTTAGCCACGCGCAGATGCTTTGCACGCGACAGTGACCCACAAAAAACAAATTGCGGACTGCGGCTAGGGCTAATGGCCAAATCGCCAAATGGCCAAATGGCCAAATCGCCAAATCGCCAAATCGCCAAATGGCCAGTCGAGTCAAGTGTTGTTCAATAAGCTATTTGCCGGATCGTGTGTGTGAAAGTGAAAGCCAGCCAGACACCTGTTGCAGCCTTCGGATCTACACGCAATTTGTATATCCGTTACGGAACTGCTGCCGGGTCAGCTGTTTTTTCAGGTAGTTCTGCTTCCATTTCCGTGAGGCCCGTGCATGCTGTTTGCTTTATTTGTTTTGTTTTATTGGCAGGCGTACTTCATCATTATCAATTAAAAAACTGCCTAATTAACAGCTGGAATGTTGGCCAAAATTAAAGCGCCCCTTTTTAGCAACCGGTTCGGCAAACGATTAAAAAGAAATCGGGTTGTAAACGCCTTCTTTTTTTGGCTTTTAACAGTTCTGGAATCTGACTAACCGTGTATAATATATAGTGCAGGTGGGAGGGTCTTTCTTGTGTTTCCCCATCATGCATATTACGTCTCTGTGGGATGCATACCTGGCCCGCCATCATTTTAATTACGTCTTGACCTGTGCATATTTTTGTTTTTTGCATTGGGGATTTTCACATGGGATTTTTTTTTTGTCTGAAACCTGGGTTCATAATACACGTTATCTTATCAGTCCAGACTCGATTGAACATTAATTATTCGATTACCCGCATTCGGGAAAGTTGTGCAACAGATGCAGTGCATCATCCAATGCATTCATGACTAACTAAAGTCCTGTCTTCATGTAATTCTCTGATCTTAAATATGACAAACTCTTAAATTTAATACCCCGAGCTATGCTTAAAAAACCATCTATCACTTTTTATTGATATTATATAAATATGAGGAGTTATTACATATAATATTTAACTTTTTTAGTCTTCGAGATCATCGCGTGCGATCTTTAGATCTTTAGATGATCTAGAAGAAAGCGTTTCTTCTCTCTCATTTACACTAACCAAAATTTTAAGTCATTGTGAATGGGTTCAGCATACAAAAATGGCGCGTAATTAATTGAAACTCAAATCTAAATTCTAAATTTATCAAAATCAAAAGCGAACTTTGATTGAAATACGTTACGACTTTTATGATCAAAACAAAGAGAGCGGGCGAGAAAGAGAGATATATGGACAGTGTAAGAGGGCGCGGGGCAGAGCAACGGGACATGTGGCGCTAACTTAATTGAATGCGATTTATTGAACTTAATTTGCAATGCTCCTGCACCATTACCCCCCCCCCCCCCTCCCTACCATCGAACATTTGTTAGTTATTTACGGCCTGCCTTATCTTATCGATAGTCATCGATAACAACAATCGCTTGAGCGTGAATGCCGACTAATGCAACACTTGCATTTTTCAGACTTTGCCGTTACGCTGCGCGACAAGATTCTGTTTCTGGACAACAGATGGCGCACAATTGGCTCAGCAGCACACGAATTCGAGGAGCTGTCCGCATTGGCCTTCGATGAGGCCGAGGAGCTGATCTATTTCAACGATCAGCAGCATCAGAACGGCAGCATTTTCTCGCTGCGACGCGATGCAACGGTTGCCTCCCACATCGTGGAGCAGGCGGTGCAACGGACGGGCAATGATTCGGTATCCGGACTGGCCTACGATCCGCTCAATCGCAATCTCTTCTGGGCGGACATGCGCCAAAGCAAGATCTACTTTGCCAGCATCGATACGCTGTACACGGAACCCCCTAAGGTGCTGGTCGACTTGAGCGCCGAGGGCGGCCGGCCCGACGGCGTGGCTGTGGATATCTGCCGCCGTCAGCTGTACTGGACGAACTGCAAGATCAATCATGCGACCGTGGAGCGCATCGGCTTGAACGGCACGGGCAGGCAGACAGTCGTCAAGCAGGATATCGATATGCCGCGCGGCATTGTGATCGATCAGCTGTCGGATCGCATATTCTGGATTGACGACAAGGTGGGCATCTTCTATGCCTTGGAGAGCGCACGCCTCGACGGCAGCGATCGCCAGTTGGTGCTCAAGGACAAGCATCAGAGCCCCATACAGCTGGCCATCACGGAGGACACCATCTACTGGACAGACAAGGCGGACAAAGCCGTTTGGAGCTATCCCAAGCCGGCGTACAACATGTCAGCGACGAATTCCAGCGAAGTGCAGCCGCAACCCACAAAGCTGGCCAGCTGGAAGGAGGATGTGTACGGCATAGTGGCGCGCACGGGTTTCTATCAACACCTGCAGAAGGATGCGCACTGCGCCAGCGTGGTGAGGAAGGTCAAACAGCGCCTGGACAACAGGCTCAACAATAAAACACACGAACGCAGCGCCGCGGAGGAGCGCATGGATGAACTGGAGCGTGAGCATTGCCTGAACGGAGCCAGCTACATGAGCAGGGGTAACTTCTGCATATGCCCGGTGGGCTACAAGGGGTCACGCTGCGAGATATACGAATGCCATAATTTCTGTGTGCACGGCACCTGCGAAATCTCCGACATGGGCTATCCCAAATGCTACTGCCAGGAGGACTTCTATGGCGAACGCTGTGAGTACTATAAATGCAACGGGCACTGCCTCAACGATGGCCACTGCCTCGTGGACAAGGAGAGCGGCGAGCTGAGCTGCGATTGCCGTGAGAATTTCACGGGCACACGCTGCGAGCACAACGAGACGGCGCATTGCGCCAGCTACTGTCAACACTTGAAGCAGCATCCGGATGCATTTGTGCCCGCCAGCTGTGTGGACATGTGAGTACCATTCGCTTAGCTGCCCAGCGTTCATCACTAAACCCCCTTTTTCTTTGCTCCAACAGCTGCGAGGAATTGCGGCTAACCAACGGCACAATTGTGACGGAATACCAGGCGGCGCCTCTGTGCGGCGACGGGCCCAGCCTCCGCTCGGGCTCTGTGATCATTGTGCTCGTGGTGGGCATTGTGTCCAGCCTGGCGCTTGTGGCGGTCATTGTGCACGGCCTGCGTCTCATCTACAAGCCCAAACGGCCGCGCATCAAGAAGACCTTCGTGGTGCGCAAACAGGCCCGCTTGAACTCCTCCAGCGACACGCCGCTCACCAATCGCCCGCTGGCCACCGAGCAGTGCGAGATCACGATAGAGAACTGCTGCAACATGAACATTTGCGAAACGGTGCGGATAACTAAAATGCAATTCCAATCAGTAGCTAATTGTGTACTTATTTACAGCCCTGTTTCGATCCCAAGCTGGTGGAGCAACAATTTGCGGCGCGCGACAGAAAAGCGCCCTGCGTCAAGGAGGACAAGAAGATACTGATACACAATATGGAAGATGATCTATTAACCTAGGCGCCTGTCCAATTGAATTAACGTTCACGTCGTGCACGGATAAGGATCAGGGCGGCATTCGAGCTTGAAAAGCTGGTGCCGCCCCCCACAGCCGGCTCGTCGTCTCCGTCGTCGTCGTCGTCGTCGCCAGGTGCTCTACCAAAGCTCGCACATATACAAAGACCTAGCAGAATTCATACTTAATTGAAGCAAACGTGTACTTAGCAATTTTTTACGTTTAGTTTTGGTCTCATTTATTTATTATTTTTGAGGAATTTCACCATGTAACGTTCATGTAGTTTTTAAGTTTTAGCTTGAGATCGGTTGAAGGAAATCATTTTGTGGCAAAAACTATGTTTTGAGAAATTGAAAAGGTTTTAATTGAAATGCAGAAAAGTCTTCTGACTGACATTAGCTTTAAATCACACATACATATATATATATACATATATAGTATATAGTTAAATGCGGCTGAGTTCATAAATAATTGCCACTTGCACAATGAGGCAAAAATGTGATTCACAACGGTTAAACTGTTGTAAATAATAATAATAAAAGAAGAAAGTAACAAAAATGAATTGTAAGAACTTTTGAAACGTGGCAGCAAACGTATCTGTTTAAACAGTTCCTTAACATAATCCCATTAACATAAAATCAAACACACACACACACACACATATATATATAACATAGTCTCTGCTGATCGGTCAAATGTCATGACAAATCTAACTGCCATGCCTATAACATCAAATCTGTTCACACCAAAATTGCCTTTGTGTACTTACATAATTACATACTTACATACAATAGATCGTAGCCTCTGCGAATGCGAGTTGTAAATATGCGTAAATTAGATTTTAATTGTAACTAATAAGACACTGGTTGAACAATAAACAAGAGTATGTTTGTTTTAATAATCAAGTGAACTTGTTAAGTGTGCTGTTTGTACTGCACTTTTGCTTTTGTTTAACAAACACACACATGAACAGCGAATAGCAGTCAGCTACAACAACACCTCAAGAGCTTTCTGCACATCGCCTGACCGAATGCATTTGTATTTGACATCAGGAGTTAGTCACAAAGAGTAAGCATCATGACACTTTACTTTATATATATATATATATATATATATATTATAAATTTTTTGTTTATATTTTAAGCTATTAGTCACGTACACTCACAATGATATTATTTTAATGGTGTTTTTTGTGTTTTGACAAGTCAAATGACAATTATTTAACCGACGAACCAACCACTTTTTAACGCATTTAAAAATGAATCAAATTTCTAATATCGATGACTAAGATCTACGTGACCAATATCGATAAATAAAGCCAACGCACTATCGATACATCACCATTGCCCAACACTAAACAAACAGGCATCGATACTTAGCTGCGACAGCACTATCGATACAACGCAAGTACTTTTCGTCGAATCCATTTTTCTTGACGTCACATCAATTTTTCGCAAAATATAAAACTTGTATTTAAATCACATATATACTCAGCCAAATACACATAAATAAAGTTATAATTGTGCAACTAGACAGGATGGTATGTTTATAACAATAACAGCAACTTTGCCGTCGTTTATTTAGCTTGTTTTTCGACTTTGCGCTTGGCGTGGCTGCCGCAGCCGCGGTCGAAGCGCGTGCCCTGCAATTATTTTTCGCATTTACTTGTGCCTTTTTACATTTCGTTGAACTCATCTGTGCATGTGCGTTTTGTATTAAAGTAAAATCGTAGTTGGCTACGCTTGTTGAAAGTTGAAAATATACTGCCAGGCACAGGCATTCTTCTAAAAGTCGACAACTCGCGACCGTGTGTATCTACATATGTATATATCGTGCCTCGCCTGTGCCGACGCGTCCCGCGTACTTGCCATACGTTTACTAATCCAGTGACCTTCGCTTTGGGGTTTTTTCTTTTGCATTTGCAGGGCAGCAACGACAGAGCCTCCAGATCGCCGCGTTCGGATGACCAGCGCGATATCGGCGAGATGCCAGTCACAAAGCGCTCACGCTCGGACTCGGGTAAGTGTTTCGTCTTGTTGCGGGTGGGGTGGGAGAAGGGGTCAACTTGTTTATATGCATAAGTATGTATCTGTAGAGTATATACATATATATATATTTATATACGTAAGTTCATTAAACAAAAAGAGAAATAAATATATATATGTAGGTTAATGAAACGCCAGGCCACAAATCAAACAAAAGGAAAATATATATATACAAAAATATCATATTTTTTTTTAAACAATTTTATATTTTCTCTGAAAACATAAACATTTGCATACACATCTCTCTCTCTCTCTCTCTCTCTTTTCTACTACTTCGTTGCATTTTAAGGGCCAGCACAGACGCTATTAAATAATCGGTTTTTCTTCTTGTTCTGCTTAAGTAATTGCAGACTTCATAAACGCACGATGATCTCAAGTGAGGTGAGGTGAGAGTCAAACAAATAACGAAATCGAAAACGAAACGAAACAATATCAGACAAGTCAAGTCAGTCCAAACCACACGCGATCCCCAAAACTAATTGCGAATCGACTCCCACTCGAATCGAATCGAATCGACTCAACTGTCCATACAATGTATCGATTGTGAGAGAGTGCGATGCACAAAAAAAAATCAAATAAACACCAAAGTCACATAATATATTAATATAATGCCTAAGCACATATGATCGAAGCATTGACTCGACAACAAGTTGCAAAAGTGACTTTTCCTCATGTAACTAGGGTCCAGCCCACAGAGTGTATGAGTACAGTGAATCCTCGCCGCATCAACACTGCGAAACGCAACGAAACAAAACTAATCAAAAAAGCATATAACTATTCTCTCTCTCTCTCTCTCTCTATTTCTTCTATATATCTCTTCTTTTTTCATTTATTTTGTAAGCGTTTTTTCTTATGTTTGTTCCGCCCAAACGACTTGGTTCTTTTGTCGCCTATCAAGAATTGACATCGATCAAGAGATGAACCCAAATAGAGTATTGCCAATAACAACTGCTACTACCAAGATACATCAGCCCGATATGGGAACGAGTTGCATTTACTTGCTTTTAACAACATTTTTTGCCGATTTCAACGTCCACGTCGCGGTTCCCGCACCCGAGCTGCTTCGTCGTCGTCGTCGTCGCCTCCGTCTCCGTCTTCATATGTGCTGCGACAACGCGTTGGACTGATCCGCCCCACAGCCAGAACTAGTCGTTTATTTTTAATTACAATATTTTAATATCAACATTGAAGTTGGGCGCGTGTCTTTTCGTGTCACGAACATTTAAAATTTCGTGAGTGTCAGTGTTGAGCAAAAAATGATATTAGCTAAAAGTTACGTTAATTTTTGAAATCGCAAATCTACCAAATGAAAACAATATTTTCTAAATTGAAAAACATCACTATTAAAAGAGAAAGAATTAATTATTAGGGTAAAGTCAGCATTACACAGGCTTATATTTTTTTTTTTAAATAAAAAAAAAAATTGTAATATTCGACCGAGCGTGTTGCCGCACTCGTGTTCGTGTCGTTACAAAAAGCCGACACACGTCTGTATCTAATCAACACATAATTATTGCTTGTTATTCATAACAAATCAACAAATTGTCCGATAGGCCAAAAAGCGCTACTGTAAACTATATATTTATATGTGATCCAAATGATTTAAAATATATGTAGATGGTATTTAGTTAGCCGAGTAATCAAAAACCCAACGCGAAATATTTAAAGTAAAATATACACATAGTACATACATATTTATGACAAAAGCACACACATACACATACATACATACATACACACATACACACACAACATGATTAAGGTACGGCGGAAAAACTTAACCAACTTAAAAACATATTGTTGCTCTTATTATCGTTTCAGCGTCTTGTTTTCTTTTTATTTTTCTCTTTTTTATCACTGAGCAATGTAATGTGTGACCCTTCAAGTCAATATACCACGCCCCCAACTCATGGAAACCGTATCGAAACGCACATATATATAAGGTCGCTTATAATTTCTATTTTTATAATACATTTACAGGAATTGTGCACACCGTTATGCCAGCTTTCCAACACTGTCCAACATTGATAACTATTGAATTTTGACTTCAGTTTGTTTTGTAAGCCCTGGGGTGTTGAACCTTTTTTTTACAGTGTGCACAGTTCTTGGGTATTTTCTTCTTTGGTTTCGATTTGTGCGGCGACGATTTGCCGGCTGGATGTCCGTTGGAAGTGCTTTAAATGATATTTCGATTGATATACTCGCTATAACTGCATTTATCTCTAATCTACGCACACACACACACACACACAGTCGTACTTTTATTAGCACAGCCTACGTATACTTAAAATATATTAGGCTAATTTATGTTTTATTTTTTACGGGTGCTTTCTTTTTATTCTTGCATTTTCCAGCCTTAACGAATGACAAATCAAATGCCTTGCAGTCCTATATCTATTTACGTAAATTCAAATCATTTATTTAATTCAAAAATAATTTCAAAAACTTAAACCGAGGCAAAAGACGATATACTAAGTTTTGTTAGTACAAAAAAAAAAAAAAAAAAAAAAAAATACCGATAAACGATAACAGTTTAAAAACAAATACTGCATTTAAACGTAACGAGTAATGCATCGACAGCTTTTAATTGTCATTGTGTTGTAGCCTCTCGAATCTCTGTGACTGAATCATCTGCCGGTTGGCAATTGGCCCGCGCGCAAGCAGTTCCAGATCTTCTCCAGAACACACACACAGTTACATATATGTATAGACTACTACAATATATGTATGTAGTTGCTCCGCCGGCCAGCAAAACTGTTGATTATGATTAATGATTTTTTTTCTATTTTTTCCTTTTTGTCTTTTATCTTTCTTGCAGGCATCGGTTTTTGTTTGTGTCGCTTCAAATGTCAACTCCCGCACCATTGCCTTGGCCAATTGCTGTACCCATCGCTTGGTCACAGCAATTGGGCCAACTCTGGTCTCGAGCTGCTGTTGGAGTCGACACAGACCTCATAAAAAGAAAACAAAAATCAAAACGAATCAAAGAAAAAAGTCGTATTCAAACCAAATTGCTTAAACGATCCGCCTACAGCTGATCGGTTCGATGATGAGCCCATTGTCATCATATCATATGAGATACACTAATCTGTCCTCCCAATTCTAGGCAAGTCAGCGGACACGAAAATTCCCTACCTTTCGCAGCCACTGTATGATCTGAAACAGACGGGCGATGTGAAATTCGGACCTGGCACCCGGTCCGCTCTGCTGGGACTGCTCGGCGGTGCACTGCCCAAGCTGACCTCCGAACAGCATGATCTTGTCAGCAAGGCCAAAAAGTATGCCATGGAGCAGAGCATCAAGATGGTGTTAATGAAACAAACGCTGGCCCATCAGCAACAACAGCTGGCCACCCAACGCACCCAGGTGCAGCGACAACAGGCCCTGGCGCTCATGTGCAGGTAATGAAAGAAAAGATTTGATGCATAAGATACGCAGACATTTGCAATATGATGCAAAACATGGAAAACATTAAGTGAATAACCTCGTGTCCCGACCGCTGCTTCGTGTTATTGAAGTCGGTTTGGGTGCACCTGGTTTCCTGTGCAGCTTAGCTGATAAGATCTGAGCATTTATGTATCGGAAATATTACTTCTTATTTTATTTGTGCCGAAACTCATCTTTGTCTCTTGCTTTTGCCAGGGTTTATGTGGGCAGCATCTCTTTTGAACTCAAGGAGGACACCATACGCGCCGCTTTCACACCATTTGGACCCATCAAATCGATCAATATGTCCTGGGATCCCATCACACAAAAGCACAAGGGTTTCGCATTTGTTGAGTATGAAATACCGGAGGGTGCACAACTGGCGCTGGAGCAAATGAACGGCGCATTGATGGGCGGCCGCAACATCAAGGTGGGCAGGCCAAGCAACATGCCGCAAGCACAACAGGTCATCGACGAGGTGCAGGAGGAGGCCAAGAGCTTCAATCGCATATATGTGGCCTCCATTCATCCGGATCTGTCGGAGGAGGACATCAAGAGCGTGTTCGAGGCCTTCGGTCCCATTCTCTACTGCAAACTCGCGCAGGGCACATCCGTGCACTCGCACAAGGGCTACGGTTTCATTGAGTATGCCAACAAACAGGCCATGGACGAGGCCATTGCCAGCATGAATCTCTTCGATTTGGGCGGCCAGTTGCTGCGGTGCGTAAAAGCCATTTTATTTCAACACAATTTGCTCATGTTCTCACATAATCCTGCAGAGTTGGACGTTCGATTACGCCGCCGAATGTGCTGTCGTGTCCTGCTACAAATTCGACAATGCCAACGGCTGCAGCTGTTGCTGCTGCCGCTGCCACAGCTAAGATACAAGCCCTGGATGCAGTGGCCAGCAATGCGGTGCTCGGTTTGTCCCAAAATACGCCCGGTATTGGCATTGCCGCCAAAGTGAACGCCATGCCCGTGGTGAGTGCAGCCACCTCGGCGGCTGCCTTGCATCCCGCTCTGGCGGTGCCTACGGCGCCCGCTGCTGCACTGCTGCCGCCGGGCATGTACCAGGCGCCCGGTCTTGGCGGACCCAGTTTGTTAGGCGTTCCGGTCGGTTTGCCTACGCTGCAAAGTGTGGCACCCACACTTCCACCACCCGCGCTCCTGGCAACGCCGCCCGCTGTTGCTTTGGCAGCCGCGGTACCCGCCGCAGCAGCAGTGCCACTTGGCGTGGTGGAGGCCAGCAATGGAGCGCCGGTCGTCTTGTCTGCAGCTGCCAATAATGCTGCCGCAACGGCGGCAAATCTTTCGGAGAATATTAAAAAGGCGCAGGAGAAGCAGCAGGAGGAGCTGCAAAAGAAGCTGATGGATGAGGGCGATGTGCAGACGCTGCAGCAACAGGAGAACATGTCCATCAAGGGCCAGAGTGCACGCCAGCTGGTTATGCAAAGGCTGATGCGACCGCAGGACTCGCGCGTCATCATCTTGCGGAATATGGTCGGACCCGATGATGTAGACGAGACGCTGCAGGAGGAGATTCAAGAGGAATGCAGCAAATTTGGCACAGTCAGTCGTGTCATCATATTCAACGAAAAGCAAACCGAAAACGAGGACGACGACGAGGCCGAGATTATTGTAAAGATCTTTGTTGAATTCTCAGCGGGCGTCGAAGCGGTGCGCGGCAAGGATGCGCTTCACGGACGTTTCTTTGGCGGACGGCGAGTCGTTGCCGAGCTCTACGATCAGGCGCTCTTCGATCAGGGCGATCTGTCTGGTTAGAGAGCGGAGGGCAGAGAAGGATGCGATTGTATCTTTAGGCTAACGGATTCGGATTCGGACCTTTATCTGGCAGCAACAGCCTTTTTTTACTTAGAAATTAAACGAACAATTATTTATTACTTGGCGCGCAAGTCACAAGCCACGAATTGTGGCCGAAAGGAGATTGTAAATTTTTGGACAAAGTCAATGATTGATGAGCACAGTATCTATTATAATTAAATAATACCTATAAAGTGGGCAGTTGAATATTGATAGTGATTGATGTATTAACGATCCGATCCCAAGCAATTGTCGCCAGTTTCTGTATAAATTAAGCAAAGTGCAAGTGTTTTCCCAGCCTGCACCTCCAGCAGTTCATTTTCTGTCGCATACACACAAAACTTACAGAGTGTACATTTTAATAATTTTGAGCGCTTAAAACTTACAATAAAAGTCTAGTTTCCCATAAAGCAAAGCTTGTGCAGCTCCAATTTATTTTTCATATTTTAAATCGATTTTTTCGTTATCAACAAATCGAAATCAATAAGCCGATACGCTGTTAGCCTTGTCAGCCAGTTGGCAGCGCCAATTTGCTGATACTGTTATTTAACAGAGCTATGTAGTTTGCGTTAACAGAATTCAATTTGCGTTAACACAGTGAAGAAGAAGCAGCATTGCATGAAAGAAAAATAGAAAATATGATGCCAAAAAGTGAATAATCAAGTAATATTCGGGCAAATAAAAAACAACAACAAAAATTTGTGTGTGTTTGTGTCGCGCAACTGGAATGTTAACGCGTTCCAAACCGTGCGGCGCCTCCAATCAATCGCATTCGCAGCCAGTTAAAGCTTTTTTTGACAAAGACATCGCAGCAGTAGCAGCAGCAGCAGCAACAATCATCGACGACTGGTCGCGACTCGCGTAGCTGTTGAGAGAAAAAAAAGGTACACATAAAACGAAAATCTCGTTGGTCCTTTGTTTCTATGTTAATTTGTGCTAAACAATTTGTGTGTGGTGCACCTGCTGCTAGCTATGTATTTCTACGGCACAGCTGATGGGCTCCAAATGGGTCTGTTGCTGATGTTGGCCACGAATTTCTCGCTGGCCTTGCCTTGATAAGCGCAGACTGGCTGTCGCGCACGCACACGCACACCCAGCTTCCCCGCAATAACTACGCACCAATACAAGCCCAATTTTAATGTTATAGTTTGTATATTTACATAAATATGTTTGTATGCATTTTCCAACATTTGCTTGGCATTTGCTTCCGTTCATTCGCTTCAATTTGGCGTTGCCAACTCGATCGTTGTTGTTGACTTTCGACGCGCGTCCTGTGGCCCTCACACTCAGTCGCTTTCCAACACACGCACACATACACACCCACACACATACTGTTGAATTGTTTCAACTTATTACGTAATATGTCTTTGGCAGCACCCCGTTAAAAAACAATAGAGCACCTTACAATCACGTGTGGCATGACTTCAGCAGTTTTCAATATATTCAGCTCTTTATTTATAGCCTGATAAGCTCTGCAAAGATTGATTTTGCGTTCTGGCCAGGCAGTCCTTGGCTGCCTTGGACGCTGTCAGATCCTTGAGAAAAGTTTCCTTATTGATGCCTTGTCAAACAAAAAAATATATCATCAACAAAGTAAGATATTGTTTGGGGCGTTCTTCTTAAACATTTCACTGGCAATAAGAATCTTATTGAGAATCAAGTAAATCAATAAAATTAAATTTCAAATTTTAATCTATTTCTTATTTATGATTTCTTAAACGACACAGCTTACATTTAAATTTAAAGTAAAAATAAACATTGATTGTGTTTAGATAATGCACATAATGTCTGCATACTCTTAGTCAAATAAGACTTTTAACTATTCTCTTTTTGTGTCGAAACCGTAAACGTTTCACTGGCTGCCTTTTTTTTTGCCCTGAGCTTACAACTATGCCATCATGTTGGCGGTGTTGTTAATGTTTGATTTGATCAATTCGAAAATTCTAGTTTTTGTCCCCAAGTATATCTGAAGCTGACTCATCATCATCATCTAATACCATTCCAGTTCCCCCCTCGCCGCAGAAATCGTAATATAATTGAGTGAGGGAACGTTGGTAGCATCATTGAGTCACAGAGCAGAAGAAGCAGAAGTCAATACAAGACACATTGGCACAAGATGAGCTGCAAGGTGCGGCTTATGGAGGATGGCTCACTGGACGAGGAGCCGTTAACATTAAAGGAGATCGCTTATCAGAAGCTATGCAACAACCTGGACATATTCAGTGGCTATACGGAAAGCGGACAGCGTTCACTGAACGCGGGCATTGTGCTGACAAATGAGATATGCGACGCGTTCCTTGAGAACTATCAGCGCTTCCACAGACCACTCGACGATAAGGTCATAAATCTGTTCAGCGATACGCGTCGCACCTCGCTGAAGATTGTCAATCTGCGCTACAGCACACTGAGCAGCATGGGTGGGTATTGTGAAATAGGCTCCATTTGCCAACAATTGGATATACCTCCTTTTATTGTCCTGCAGGTCTGGAGACGCTGATGCGTCACAAATTGTTTGCTTTGTCCATGTGGTATTGCGATAAGATCACGGTGCAATCACATCACCTGCTGGCCCATTATGGCGATAGCCTGCGCTCACTGGAACTGGGTATCAGTTCGCATCTGTTGCAGAATGCGGAGCCCAATGAAAAGGAGCCGGTGGACTTTCAATTGACCTGCCCGCATCTGCGCCGTCTGGTGCTCAATGGCGTTGTCATGCATCATCGTCTGCAGTTTGCCCATTTGCAGGATTTGAGCCATCTGGATCTCACATCCTGTGTGCTGGCCAACTTCAGTCTGGAGGCGCTTGGCATGCTGCCCAACCTGCATACGCTCATATTGTTCAATGTGTGGCCCATTGCGAATCAGCTGCATGCGATCTGCTGTCTGCGTCGCCTCTGCACTCTGGACATTTCAATATCGAGCTCGGGCAACGGGCATGGCACCTATGATTTGCCCGATCAGACGCTGGTCATGCTCATGGATAACCTGCGCCATTTGACACATCTGGACATCTCCGGCACGAATTTGGCCGGCAACGGCGTGGCCACCAAGGAGTCCACCAATGCCAATACCAAGACAGAGCAACATTTTGGACCCACCGATATACCAGGGCTAGCGTCGCGAACACAGCGACCGCTACAGTTTCTCGGCTTGTATCACACGGCGCACTGGGCGTGCAAACGGCATGACATACCCGCCCTGGAGGTGGCCGGCGATGCCAACGAGCAGCAGATACTGACAGCGGCGCGCTATTACCACGACAGGCCCGTCCTTTTGACAAGGGTGAGGTTCAACTAGTTAACTGCCAGAGACACGTTTTAATTGATATTCATTCGCTTGCAGGTTCTCAATGATTTGTATCATCTGTTTCGCTTCGAGAACTGCAAGGATATACACACAGCGCTGGATGTTGTGCTCTGCGCCATGGACAGGCATTTGAAATTCAAGCATATGCAAATATCGGGCAGGTGTGTGCGGGAATTAAGCCTCTTTATTACCTTACTCTTGTCGAGGGTATTATTATGATTTTGCCGTGAAATGTGTGACGATTTGTATATATATATTTTTGATCAGCCGAGTCCGTAATCCACGTTCGGCTACCCGTCTGTCTGTAAGCCATATCTTATCAACATCTGGCTACTATATCATACAAGAATTAAGTTCTTGTATGAACAAAATTGTTGTTCATTAAGAACCTTTACAAAAGTGAGCAATTACGAGATTTTCTACTCTTTTCACATATATACAAAATCGTAATTCTATAAGCGTATTTAATATTCGGTCGAGTCGAATATAGTTGTTCTTGTTTGCAAATGAAATCGAAAATTCTTTTCAATTGCCGGCAGCGCTACACTGTTCTACATAGTAAAGGGTCGTGATCGTTCCAAGTTTGGCACACTGCTGCGCAACCACATCATTCGGACGCTTCTCAATGGCATGGAGATGCATCTAACGGACGACACAATGCTGAGGAATGGCTATCTGACGCTGACGCAATTCCACATGCCAGTCGATGTGGTAGGACTGCGCCTGAATCTGCAAGATTGAACAGCACGAGACTAATTGTTAACTCATTTAATTGCCACAGCTGTTCGAGTACGAACGCCTAATTAAAATACTCCTGCATGGTGTGTCCAAAACGGAGCAGGAGGGCTTCGTTCAGCGCATTGCCATCTATCTGCTTAACACGCTCGCCTGCCAGGTCGATGGCAGACAGAAGCTCTTTCTCGGCGAGTTGGGCGTGGTCAGAGTAAGCGTATATCATTCATCTGTTCCATATGCAAACCATATTTATGCGAGTGTTAATTCATGTTTGCAGACAATGCTGACACTGATCAAGGATCGGCTGACGCGTTCGGTGTTCGATGATGTCATGGAGGTGGCGTGGTCAACCATGTGGAATGTAACCGATGAGACTGCTATTAATTGTAAGAAATTTCTGGATGGACGCGGAATGGAGTATTTCCTTAAGTGTTTAAATGTGAGCCAACATCATGTCAACCTAAACGAAATTGTAATGCATAATATTACCCGACGCAGACATTTCCCGATCGTGACGAGCTATTGAGAAACATGATGGGACTGCTGGGCAATGTGGCCGAGGTCAAATGGCTGCGTCCAAAACTGATGACACAGGAGTTTATAGAGGTGTTTGCGCGCCTGCTTGATTCATTGAGCGATGGCATCGAGGTGGGTCATCATGGTGGAAGACTAGCCAATGACAATGCTAACCAACTGCGCTTCCAGGTCAGCTACAATGCGGCTGGAGTGCTGGCGCACATTGCATCCGATGGCGCCGATGCGTGGACCATCAAAACGCCAACACGACAACACGTCCTCGAACGCATGGTGGCCGCCATACAGCGCTGGAACATCAAGAGCGAACGCAACATCAATTATCGCAGCTTTGAGCCCATACTGAGTCTGGTGCGCTGCTATGAGACGCCCGAATGCCAGCACTGGGCCGTCTGGGCGCTGGCCAATCTCACCCAGGTAAGTGGAAGCAAATGTTGATTGTCCCATCGATTGACTCATCTCATCCCCTATTTTCCAGGTCTATCCGGATAAGTATTGCCAGCTGGTGGAGCAGGAGAATGGCATACAGATATTGACCGAGCTGATCCAGCACGAGAGTCCTTACTGCGAGATAAAGCGTATTGCTCGTCTGGTTATCGAACAGTGCGATTTGGGCATGGAGCGAATGGTGGAGGGTTAGGCCAGATGCTAGCCCCCAATGTATGCCAGAGTCTAGGATTTACTATTCGAGTTTGTTGTAAAGTTTGTGTTTAAGGCAGCAGCAAGTGTTATCGTTCAGATTCTTCCTCGATTTTTATGTTTACTTCAACAAAAAAAAGAAAAAAAAAAAGCAAAAACAAAAACAAATTTTAAATGCGACAAAATAAGAAAAAGCAAAATGGGAGAAACATAAAAACGCGTGTTTGGCAAAGAATTAGGCAAAAGAAAAGAACGCAAAATATCTATTATAATAATTACTAGATTATATATATATATATATATATATATACACACATATATTACGGTATATAACTATATATCATGTTGTAAGCAAACGAGCGATTTTTTTTAAGACGAGATTAAGGCCCTGTCGGAAACTGTAAATATTGTTAACGAAAAAAAAAGAAGAGAAATGAAAAGGCAAACGAAGTAGCTGCATATTAAATAGAACCCTAATTAAATAATCCTATGCAATTGAAGTCTTTCGTGTATGTATGCCTCTTTAAAGATTTATCTATATATATATATATAAAAATGTAGGGGTATTTAGCTGTTGATATGTCTGCTCGATTTGTTTTATATTTTTTATTATTATTTATTAGCGTTTAAATACTTAGTTTAAGCTGTACCTTAAAATGAAACCCATTAACTTGTCCGCTTTGTGTTCAATGCAAATGTTTCGATTAGTTCCTTTCAACAATAATAATTTTTTTTCCTGTTTATTGCGTGTTCAAGCAATTCTTCATATTATGCTTAAAGTCTAGGCTAATTAAATGTATATATGTATGCATACATAAGTGTGTTTCGTTTCGGTTTGCAGACAGACCTTATACTAAATACCATATTTTATTTATTTCATTTTTTTTTTTTGGTCTATGAGCTTGCATCTGTTTCGCTCGACAGCTGCTCTGGGCTTAAAAAAACTTCTACTCACTCACACCAACATATGCATATGTATGTATAAATACATGTTCTTGAAACTGTGTATGTATGCAAACAAATTGCAGCAGTTGGCGAGTGTCTAACAGCTTGACAATTGCGTCATGGGGCCAGTGTTGCCAACTGTCGCGGCAAAGAAGTAGCTAAATTCGATGTTAAAAAATTGTTGAGATGCCAATAAGTGACTACATAAGTTAAAAATTGCACTGTTTTGTGCTGAAAGTGATTTCATATGGGGTTGCTCTGTTGGCTGCTGTCGAGTGAGAGGGGGGCAATTTGTGTACATGAAATGCCAACGAGTTGAAAAGCGCACGAACATGTGGCGCATGTGCAGTTGGAAAGTTCATAGACACCCCCCCACATACACACCCACACAGCAGCATGGAGAGCAAAGCAACCCTTCTGATATGCTCTCTCTGCTCTCACAAGCGACGCATTTGTCAGTTGCCATTTT